TCTGGGTAACATTAATGCATCCCCTGAAAATTCATGATATCAACATATCCATATCCCATTGTTCATCACTATGTTTGATAATTTAAAAAATTGTTAAATCAGTTAAATCCCCAAGGATTTCCCATGAATATCCCATCAAATCCCAGAAAAAAACACCATGTTCGATGGTTCAATATGGGAACCTGTGGGCCTGTGGGCCCCTGCTTCCTGCGCTTCAGGTGTTGCAGGGAAGGACGAAGAGAAGGTGAACCTGCTACAACCCGTCACCGCCCATGGCAACATTGAGGTAGCTTGCGGATGACGGGTTTCATGGGGATTTACTGTCATATGGCAGTGTGTCAAAACCTTGTACCCCTGGTGAACATCAAAATAGCTGGTAAATGGATGTTCATCCCACTAAAAATGGTATTAATAGGTATTGATCCATAGCCATATATCGGAATTACCCTCTGGTAAACTAACTAACATAACTATATGTAGCTATGGAAAACCACCACGTTTAATGGGAAAACTCACTATTTCTATGGCCATGTTCAATAGCAAACTGTTAAATTACCGGAGGGTATATCGGAATTAGGATTTATCTCATGGGGATTTAGGACATGATGTCAGGATGATTTCACGTTTTTTTTTGGGATAAGGATCATCCCAATAATATCCAAGTCATTCCAAGGCGAGAAAAGACGACATGTTCCCCTAGCGGGTCAAGCCTACTTTGGCCAAACCCCGATGGTTGCCGAATCCATCTGATCCATCTGGTCATTTGTTACAGTTTGCTATTGAAAATTGCCATAGAAATCGTGGATTTCATTTTGGGTATGATTTTCTGGTTGGTGGTTTCAAACATGACTTTTATTTTCCATTTCATATATGGGATTCCTTCCTATTGACGAACTCATATTTTGCAAGATGGTTAAAACCACCAAGCAGTTAACATAGCTATTGAAAATTGCCATGAACATAGTTGATTTACCTATTACAAAAATGCTGATTTTCCATATAGCTATGTGTGTGAGCTTACCGGAGGCTATCAATTTTCTCGGAATCTACCAAGAGTGTCATTTTGAGCCCTTCAACAGGTCACATCCCCAGCCCCCCAGCCCCAAAAAAACACACAGATGTGGGACCAGAGGCTGGTGGTGTACCTCATATGAACTGGGGGGATGGGATTGCGATCATATTCTCTGATTGGTGGTGACTGGAACCTGAATTCTATCGATAACTTATATATCTATAGAATCTATAGCTGGTTGGTGGTTTGGAACCATGGAATTTTTATGACTTTCCAGTCAGTTGGGAATGTTATCATCCCAACTGACTTTCACTCCATCATTTTTCAGAGGGGTGGCGAAAAACCACCAACCAGTGTTTGGGATATCCAGCCATTGCTCGATTATCAGAAAGACATCTGTTGTTATTTGATATTTTCAGGGCACCCCTCCAATGTTCGCCGCCCCCATGAGTTCTGAAAGAGGAGTGGGATGAGAGAAGAGGTGATACCCTCTGGTAAACTAACAGTTTGCTATTGAAAATGGCCATAGAAATAGTTGATTTTCCCATTGAAAATGGTGATTTTAACCATAGTTTTTTGTATGTTTACCAGAGGGTAGGTCCATTCATCATGGCGTAGGACGTCCTTGGAGATGCTAAATTTGGACAGCCCAACGAAAATTTGTCGTTCAGGGCCCAACAAAAAAAAAACTGGCAACCATCGGACCCCGCGAAAGTGCTAGAGACAATTCCATGGTTTTCATGTGTCCAACAGATTTTCGCCGTGAACTTGCAATTTGCTGAAGATTACCATCTGGCAAACTAACATAGCTGTGGAAAATCACTAACTTTATAGATAATTGGTCCATTTTCCATAGCAAACTCTGAGTAAAAACTGCAGGCCATGGTCCATTTTTCGAATGGGAAAGTCCATGGCGAATCACCGAAATCCCAGGAGTGGCTTCAAAACTTGGAATCCGAAATGCAACGCAGCGTTCGTATGGAGTCCTGATGGACTTCCTGATGGACTTCCGGGGTCTCTGTTTTCGTTGGTGGGAAGCACCAGAATTCATCATGGCTATCCTTGGGGGTTAAGCCATGGTTAACCCATGTTGAAAACCATAAAAAATGCTGCTTTTCTGTGGGATTTTATAGTATATATGGGAAATCCTTGGGATTTAACAATGATTGATGATCAACAATGGTGATTTATAATATGATTTAATGGGATATGGATATGGTGACGCAATTGTTTAATGGAATAGAACTGACCCAGAATGATGGGATGATGACAAAATGGGTGATAGAATGAAAACTTTTCAAGGATGGATACTATGGAACCTGCCTTCCCCCCGTTCAAAGAACAACACCCCAGAAATCATGGTGGATGTAGGGTATTCTCCCATCACATGTTTGGGACCATAGAATGGGGGTGTGTCTAATATGAACCGAAGATGAGATTCCGAAGTGGGTTACAGTTACAGCCAACTGCAACCAGATTTTCAGTGAATATGACCCAGTGATCAGCCAGTTAACTAACGCCATGGTGCGTTTTGAATTAAATGCCGACAAATCGGCAAGATGACACGTTTTCACCTGAGAATTGCTTCAAGCGAAAGTCTATAAGAACACCAATTTTACTTCGTTAAAAAAACCTGGTTTCCTGTCACTGACTCCAAAAAATGGTGTCATCGAGCCGTTCAACCTCTGAGGTCGTGATTGCCGGAAAGCCGCCAACGAATGCGGTTGGAGCCCCAGTTCAGGCAATTTCAGGCATACATCCGTCAACCTATGGCGGTTTTGGAATGTTTTGGACCTACTCCAGGGGAATCAACGCGTTGATTTTCATGCAAACATCCCAGAGTTATGTGCATTATCTGCAGATCTTTTTGTCCCAACATGATATGGAGGATGCGAACCAACATTGCGCGGAATTGCCCTTGCCCAATCCTGGATCATTCGATCTCTATTTCTCTATGTTTACTTGCTTCAAAGCCAATTGTTTTCAACATGTTGGTTTTACCGTTTTACCCTCTGGTAAACATACAAAAAAAACTATGGAAAATCACCATTTTCAATGGGTAAATCCACGAACTAAATGGCAATTTGCGATAGCTATGTTAAATTACCAGAGGGTAAAGTTCTTCCAACTCCAACCATCGTTTTTGTTTTTGTCATTTTGTTTGTGGCAACAGATTGATCATCATCCGAAGCCTATTTCATACCCAATACTTAGCTGAATGATCCCCAATGATTTACTGATCAACTGATAATAGTTGATATCAGCTGCTTATCTCAACTTAGCTCTCAGTCTTCCTTCCATCCTTCCATGAATTCCATTGAGCCATTGAGTTGTCCAATCCATTTTCGGCTCCGGGCGGCCCCCAGTTCTCATCCAGTCATGGATGACCATGATGAAATATCCAAACCCATGGTGACTTGGGGATCCCCATTGATCCCTAAGCTGGCCGCCATGGTTGCCACGTATTTCTTGTGCGGCCGCGGCTGAGGCAATGTCAGTGCGGGTCAATCGATCGAGGTCTTTGCTGTCTGGAAACCTGGGTTTTTTGTTGGGGACCTGACGACTGGATCAGAATGACCATCATGGGATACGTTGGGGATGTAACATGATATAAGACATGCTGGGAAATATTTGGGGGATACCTATAGCCTATAATATATGCGTACGGGTAAAAAAAAGTGCATATAATTACTGTACATAATATTACATATTCATATACGTATGTGAGTTTGTTTTTAATGTTTTTAGATAAAGGGGATATAAGGGTATAATGGGTCCATACCCTCTGGGTGAATGATGTTGTGACCCCACGTCGTGACGTCACTGGAATGATAGATGTCTTCAGGTTAGTGAATCATTATTATACCAGAATCCAGTGGTCCAACATACCTATGGAAAAGCCACCATTTTTGGCAGCTATATCATTTGCAAAATGGCAATTTTTAATTATGTTCTTTCAAAGCGATGTCTGTTTACGGGAGAGTATAGGTGGTTATTTGATTTTCTCCAACTACCAAAGGGGAACAGTTGCAATTTTTGAGGGCTTCACTTCTACTCCCTTGTATTGGAGCTGTTGGGAGTAGTCCTGGGAATATTTGGACTTGTTGGATCAAAATTGGATCAATGGATCCAAAACTCATGTCGCCTCAGGACAAGTATATCGCACAGGTTGCTTTGTCAACGCCTCAGGTATCCTCAGGTCCTCAGGTTGTTGCCGGTTATTCATGGCTTTGACAAAGACGGTTACCCCCAAATAACGTCGGTTTCTGTCGGGGGAATGAGGATATCATGGGGATGTCACCAACCTTACTGGGGGGATCATGAAGCCACGTGTTTTTCAAGATGACTTGGCCATCAGAATGGGGACATGATGATTATCATTGATTATCCATGGTGAATTAAGGGGATTGGATTTGATGATTTTACCATATTTTACCTTTCTATCCTTATCTATCCTTGGTGGCTAGCCTGTTCAGAACATGTGCGATGTTGATGGGATATCGCCTACCAGATCAGGGTTTTCATATATGGGAAGCCAGTGGGGGAAATTCGGAATTTCCGGATAGTCGCCCTGGACCATCTAACGGACCCAGGGGGATGCGTTCGTTTGGTCTTGAACTACCCGGCCTGGTAAACATACAAAAAACTATGGAAAATCATCATGTTTAATGGATAAATCCTCGAACTAAATGGCAATTTTCAATAGCTATGTTAAATTAATTTAAATTACCAGAGGGTACAGAACTGGATGGTTTCAGTGCTCAAACGAGGGCTGATGGCTCAAATCTTTTGCAGAATGCTATGTTATGCTATGTTCCACTTGGGAAGCAGAAGATTTTTTAATCGGTTGTTGAATTCCTGAGGACCATGCAGTCTTGGAATTTACTGTGTGCCCCCTTTCTCCATTCTCAACATATATTCCTTCTGGCTAATCAAACATCGATGGAAAATCCGGTTGAAAGATGATTCTGTGTCCATTTGAATGCCCATGTTTTTGGGGGATGTCTTGGGGCCGTTTCAGTTCAAAGTCGATACCATAGATGACAACATGGAGGGGACAATGATCATCTTACACCCTGCACATGCCGCAGTTTCCCACAGAGGAGAGGCTGGAAGAGTTGTTGGGTTCATGGTATAAGGGCAAGGAAGCTCTGATGCCATACCCTTTGGTAAACTAACATAGCTATGGAAAATGGCAACTTTTAATAGGTACTGTAAATCAACTATAAAATAAATGGTTCATTTTCAGTAGCTATGTTAGATTCTCGGCTCCCACACACCGTCCAATTTTTTCAGTATCAGTTTGTTTGTCACATATTTTTGCCAGCGTTTAGATGATTTTTCAGGGATATAGAGGGAACCTTGCTTTGACATATGACATTCCAAACAAATCCTGAAAACTCCAATGTTACCATGCGGTGGTGGTTAGCAAACATGGCAAACTGGAAAATCACACATTTAGTTCGATGAATTTCCCATTAAAACCTCTAATGGGATATCCCAGCTAGTCATGTTTGAGTACCGCAAGGTCTCCCAAAAAAACTGCCTATTCTCTGACAAAGATGGTGGTTTATTGATCCGCCTCAAAGTTCACCTCATGGCTTCATTTCCAGCTCTTTTCAGCGTCTAAAGGAGCCCTTGCGTCTGCGCCTTTGCGTGTGGCTTGGCAGGGTTGGAGGGTTGGGTTTTTCATGTGAGAAGGGGTCAAGGCTGTGATTTTCTGGTGAGGTTAGTACGGTTAGTCAGTCATGGTTAAGCATGGCATTTCTGAGTTTGGCATTTTGGAATATGATTGGAGTAGGGTGACATCCAATCTTTTTGTGAAGCCTGGTCCGATCATGTAAAACTCACATGATTGCCAATATCAGGCCAGGAAGCACCAAAGTTGTTGACTCGGTTAGGGAAAGTAAACTTGGACTTTTGGGATACCAAGATGAGAAAAACAACTGGGATGAATTCTGAAGTGGCACTATTCATTCGTGCCCGATGTTGAGACATGGAGGTGGACAGCCAGAATCCAACAATATATGGCGATCATGTTGTGCCTTGGGAGAGGCTCTCACTGTTGTGGTTTGCGCGATGAATACGTAGATGCCAAGGGGCTGTTTCACCTAACCTCGGCCTTTTTCCATGTGATTTCGTTGACTTACCAAAGAAACAAACTATTAAGAATGGAGATTCCCCATAGCAAACTAACTTAGTTTTACCATATCCATGGGTATCCCATTTGTACCTGGATTTATAACCAACCCCACTGGACTTGGGGATTTTCCGTGATTTTCCCCTAGGCAATGAGGGAAGTGGAGCTTCCCAGCGTTTTTTCACGGGCCGTGACGGCACCGATGGCACTTGGAGCAGTTGCCCTGAGTCGAAGTGCTGGAGCCCGACGGATGCGACGAAATCGACGGCCAGAGGTATTTGGGCCCCGTGTTTTTTCGTTGTTTTGCTACTTGGGGACTTGGGGATGAATATGGAATATATCTATTCATATCCACTAATCCACAGAAATAACGGCTTGTATACATATACATATACATAATATATATATATATGTATAATATATGTATACTGTGTATATATATATATATATGGGTCATATAAACCAGTTACGAAGTGGGATGCACTTCCAAGGAAGGATGGCACTTTTGGAACAGATGAAAGGGTAATCTTAGATCAATGTTGGTAACGCAATAGGATCCACTATCGCCAAGTTTACCATAAATGGATCGTATAAACTATAAACCATCAAAATATAGGTGGTTCATTATGTTCATTATTGCTTTACTAACTAACATTGCTTTTTATATGTGTTTAACATGTTTTTTTGCCAACAGGATGGATCAAGCCTATGTTGCTGTTTCAACCCCCCATGGTTTGCGGGTCCCCTGATTATCAGGTGGTCAAGAGCTTTCCGCGCCGAGCGGCTCGAGCGCACGCAACATGCGCATGTCGGGCGAGTGGAGCAGAATGGGTAGCTGGAGAGCAAGATGATCGCGAATTCCAATCTGAAGAGGAGTATTTGAAATCCTTGGAGTTACAAGGCTGGCGGAACATATTGGAACATATCAGACCCGCAGTTTTTTGTACATTTTTTGGGGTTGATGTGGGGGTTGGCGAATTCTTCTGTGAGTGACTCAAACCATACCCTAAGACCGTTGCTCATATGGTACCATTGTGATAGGGACGCTGATTGCATCAATTCATCCAGCATTGTTCCAGCCGAAATTGCCATGAACAAAATGAGACAGTCGTATCATTGAGAGAGAGAGAGAGACACACACACATATATATATTTATTATATAATATATCAACAGACTTGACTTATTTGATATTCACTTGACTTATTTCTTGGGGGCCGTAAATCAACAGAACTTCCCATCATTTTCAAAAGGCATTGGCCCATCTTTGGCCAAAGTGCGCACTTTCTTCAGGTGCGCTACCTGGTGGATTTCGCTTGGCTTCCAGCAGTCTGAAATTTGTCCCACAGGAGGCACAGGAAATGGGGGAACTACCCATGAAGCTCACCGTGATCTGTTTGGAGGACCCAACGGACCAGGTGGCCAAGTGGATGTTGCTGTGGGAAATGGTGAGACTCGTTTTTTAGGTCGTTTCAACCAGGGGTTGAAGCTTTGGTAACCAAAGATGGCTTTGAACGTTCACTATAATAGACGTTTTTCCCCGTTACCCTCTGGTAAACATACCAAAAGCTATTGAAAATTGCAATTTATAGTGGATTTACCCATTCAAAATGGTGATTTTCCATAGTTAGGTTAGTTTGCCAGAGGGTAAAATCAGATTTCCCAGCCAGCCTCATTTGATTACTGAAGGGTTACAAGATTTAGCAGGATTTACAGGTTCTGGGTTTGGACAATTTAATCTTCAACACGCAACAGTCATTGGGATTTAACAGGTGTTATTTATATAATGGATGATTGCTCATGATTTATACAAACTTTACGTCTAGATCCAGAAAACCATACCATGATTTTGGGGCGAGTTCAAGCCCCCAACTTGTTGGGCCTACCAGCAATGTTCTACAGCTGACCTCACCGCACAAAGACATTTTAGACATACGCTTTATGCCGATTGGGTCTTGGGACCTCAGAGTATTAGAATGGATGTGATGTGATATATTGTTGTTGAAGGATTCCGCACTGAAAGGGTCTGAAAGGGTGAAGGAAATCAATTTTGGGCTGGAACCTGGATGTTTCATAGGATTTTTGTTTGCTTCGTGGATGCTTCAAGTCTGCAATGGCCAACCCTGTGGCTTCAACTTACAGAATTCTTTTCTGCGCAAGCAGGAGAGCATCCAGTGTTTTTTATCAGATCAATTAAGGTCCTGTTGATTATCCCTAAACTCCTTGCATTGTCCATGAAAAACCCTCTATTTTTACAAATATCTGAGTTTCCGGTGTACAGTAATACCCCAAAGAAGAAAATCAATGAACATCCTAGAGATATCAGGTAAAAATCCATCTAACTTTATATCTCATATTCACAGTCTCAAGTTTTTCAAAAACCACAGCGAACAACAGGATAATCTGCATCTCAGGTGGCAGCCACGTTCACCCAAAATGCCTTCCCCGGCGCTCCGGTGAAACTGGGCCGTCAGCGGCTGCGCGAGAAACAGAAGATCCAGGCGACGGCAGGGAAAATGGAGGATTTCATGAGAAAAACATGGGGATTTTCGATAGATGGTGGGGAAGTTTTATAGTGACATCACCGCGACTTCACTGGAATCATGGTTTATATTATATATGGAATTATTGCAATAGTAGCCTTATTGCATGTTAGCGAAATATTATATTTTACCCAGAAAAATGTGGGGTTGACCGACCATAAGTTGATTTTGAGGAATTAAAATTGATTTTATCAACAAAGAAATGGAGCGGTGGCGGGGGTTCTTGTAGAAGACTTGGGGTTGTTCAAGAATAGTTGAATTTCTAGGATTCTATCTAGCCAGCGAAGATAAGGCTATAGTTTGTGATGTGATTGGTAGTTGTATTTGTCTACAGCTTTTCCCAGAATGATCAGAGTCCGCCCTTTAATCCCTTGCCCCTTATGTTAAGCACATCCACCGAAAGTATTGGATCTATTCACATGGGAGCCTCGTATGTGGTGTATATCATATTAGGAGCATGGGCATGGGTGTATGTTCATTTTGAAACCATGAATGGTGCGTTGAATCAATGGCTTGGTTTGGATTTTTTTATGGGGGAACTTCTTGAAGCGAACCGGAAAGCCCTGGTTTCCCCAAAAAAATCGCTCGTCTTTTCCCATGGTTTTCACCAAATCCCGTCCAGAGATTGAGTTTCCCATGAATTTCCAGAGGCCCTAGTGGTGAACAACAAGATTAGCAACGTTTCGCCCCCCGATGCCGATGGCGGAATCATGGCCTCGCAGAGGATTTGTGACGAATTGGCCAAGAATCTGCAGCACCCTGGATCTGAGCTGTGGATGGTTGGGAAATCCTGCACCAGTTGGGAGATCCTATTGGGAACTAACTAAATTTTACCCTCTGGTAAACTAACTACTGAAAATGGTGATTTATAGTGGATTTACCCATCGAACATGGTGATTTTCCATAGTTATGTTAGTTTACCAGAGGGTAACTCTGTTAATAGTTGGAATTATAATGGGATAAACCATGATAAACCATTTGCCAACTGCGGGATTTCTTCCATCCACAGTATGAAATCCGTTTTTTCTCATGTATTTTGTTCCTTGAACCAATCCATACTTTTGAAATCTTTTGAACAGCGAATGTGTGCTTGCCTTCAACTCATATATGTTTTCCCTTCCGCGTTCACTCTGTGCGGGTGTGTTGAAAGGTTGCCCAGTGGCAATTGCGTGTTGCCCAGTTCCACTGGTGTCATTGGTTGGCGCTTGCCCGTTGATGAGATGGTGGCGGCTCTCCCAGCACTGGAGGATTTGTCCAGTTCGCCCGCATTAGAAGCGGCCAAAGGCATCATGACCACGGATCGATATCCCAAATTAGCTGCCAGGGAGTTAGCCAATGGTGCACGACTGGTGGGCATAGCCAAAGGAGCTGGGATGATCGAACCCAATATGGCCACCATGCTGTGTTTCTTAATGACCGATGCCAAGCTTTCGCCAGATGAGATGCAACAATTCTTGTCGGAGGCGGTTTCGGAGAGTTTCAATGCCATTTCTGTGGATGGTGACGAATCTACCAGTGATACTTGGTGATAGCCTGAGGGCCACTCGAGGCTGTTGCTTTTGTTTTGATATACCCTCCGGTAATTTGACATAGCTACGGAAAATCATCATGTTTAGTTGGGAAACCATCTGTAAATGGTTCAGAAGGTTCATTTTCCATAGCTAAGTTGAGTTAACGGATAGTATTTCTATTGGTTTAAGTGGAAGATGCCTCTCACCCCGGCAGCTCGCTATCCCATCAGCCAATATTCAGTGGCAATTTCAGGACCCTAAAATCTGAGGTACTGTACTATATGAGGCAGTGTTTGTGTGGGGATATTCCCTTACATAGCCTTTAAATTGGCCTTATAAATGGATAGGTGCTTCCAATTTAGGTCCCTGAAATGGCCAATGAAATCCAGATTGAAAACACAAAAATTGTTCATCATTATTGGAATCAATTGTTTACCAGATTGACAAAAAATCTACGAGATACAACATGTACGACTATCCTCTAGGAGTGCTACAGCAGATTGAAGATCCAATATTTTTTGTAAACTCCTACCATGCTATATATAATGATGATACCAATATATATATATATATATGATGCAGCCTCCCAGGTCCCCCCCCCTCCCCCCCAATGGGTATGGGTATACAGGAGCTATGTTGCTATGTTCCCCGCCCCCCCCCTGTGGGTGGGTGGGTGGGGGGGTGTAATTGTAGAAGTAGTAGTAGTAGTAGTAGTAGTACTAGTACTAGTACTAGTACTAGTACTAGTAGTTGTTGTTGTTGTTGTTGCTGTTGTTGTTGTTGTTCTAGTTGTAGTTGTAGTAGTAGTAGTCGTAGTCGTGGTTGTGGTTGTTGTTGTTGTTGTTCTAGTTGTAGTTGTAGTTAGTAGTAGTAGTAGTAGTAGTAGTAGTAGTAGTAGTAGTAGTTAGTAGTAGTTAGTAGTAGTTAGTAGTAGTTAGTAGTAGTTAGTAGTAGTTAGTAGTAGTTAGTAGTAGTTAGTAGTAGTTAGTAGTAGTTAGTAGTAGTTAGTAGTAGTTAGTAGTAGTTAGTAGTAGTTAGTAGTAGTTAGTAGTAGTTAGTAGTAGTCAGTAGTAGTTAGTAGTAGTTAGTAGTAGTTAGTAGTAGTTAGTAGTAGGAATGGGTATGGATATACAGGAGCTATGTTCCCCGCCCCCCCTGTGGTGTGGTGGGGGTGTGGTACTGCGTAAATATATATATATATATACATGTATGTGTTGTATATATATACATGTATAAGTAGATACATAGCACATGTATATATGACTATGGGTAGCACGTAGGTACTTTGAGGGAGTATGCGTGCTACATAGGTCCTACATAGGTCGTCTAAATGGTCGCATGTACCTAGTAAATGGGAGGCTTGTAGTCAGAATCGCTGCAAAAACCTAGCAAATACGAGGCTGGACCTCAGAAATGCTGCCAATAGCTTGCAAATAGAAGGGAAGGGGGGTGCTACCTGGAGATCCATCCCATTCGGGGGGGGAGACCTCGCGGGTGGAAGACAGGATCATATATAGAGTTGATGGCAAAAGAACAGGGGCCGATGGTTTCCAATCAAAAAAACACGTTGAACGAATCCATGAACCATCAAATGAAATATCTTCAGAACAATCCCTGCACTAGGTTCATCCCAAACCCGTTTTGTTTTCCATAAATATCTACGTGGGCATGGGCCAAAACTGGGTACCCAAATCATTAGGAATAGAAAAGGACGATGGCTATGTTAAATAGCCAGAGGGTAAAGTTAAAACACCTGTGGGCCAAGTCTTTGTTTTTGACCCATCCCAAAAATTATTCTGTTCTAAACATCCCAGCAATCCAAATCAAAGATTCCTTAGAATGGATATAAATCTTTTAATGCAATTGATACCTTCAATAGCCGTTATTAGTCATTATTAAACCATAAACATTGGATTATTAATCCATATTAAGCCATTTCAGCATTTGCCATTAGTAACAGCAAGTAGGAAACTATTTGCCACTAATAAGAGATCATTCGCCATTAATAATTATCAAAGGATTAACCATAGATTAAGGGTATAAGAATATCATGAGCCATAAATGAGGGGTTATGAACAAAATCACAATAATATTGGCTAATATATATATATAATATGATGTGGGTTGTTGAGCCATTAATAGTAAATTATTTACCACTGATCCACCATATCCTACAGGTATGGCCGCACACTTATAAATAGGATTATAACTCCTATAACTAAGATTATATATTGTTAATTACATTATATATAGATATATAAATATATTGTTATAATCCTGCAACCCCTTTAATAAGCCTACTGATATATTGTTAATTTGTGATTGTTAAGGGCCATATCCCAAGCCCAAGGATACCACCGTCCTCATCTCCAGCGGCCACATCGATGGCGTTCCTCCGAGCGTTTTTCGCCAAGCGCTGCGTGAGCTCTGTCGGGACCTCGCGGCTCAGGTAGTGCGCAACGGCGAGGGCACGCAGCACGTGATCCGCGTCACGGTGAAGGGTGCGGAAGACCAGGAGATGGCCAAGAAGGTGGGGGAAAAGTGGGTGAAAATCGGAAAATCGTGGGAAAACTGGTTGGTGGTTTGGAACATGAATTTTATTTTCCATATATTGGGAATTTCATCATCCCAACTGACTAATCTTTTTCAGAGGGGTTGAAACCACCAACCAGAAAATGATGGAACAACATGTAGGGACATGATGGAATGTTGAAACCAAGGATGGAAACATGCATATTTGGCATATTTTCTGATTTTCTGTTTTACATTGTGCGGTTTTTCTGACATTTTATCTGAAAAGGGTTTTATTAGAAATGTTATATGAGATAGTGTGCGGGCCGCCCAGAGAGCTAGGGAACTTGGAGCAGGAAGGAAGAAAAGACAAACTTACCTGGCAGGTGGGAAAAAAGCTGGAAAATAATGAAAAAACATGGCTCGCCAAACTGGAAATAGTAAAACATGGATAAAGTGGTGGAACAATGGTGGAAACATGTGGAAACCTAATTCATCAACCTCAACAACAATCCCTCATTAACTATGGTTGAGTTGCAAAAAAAACAAATTGGCATATGAAATGAACATGTGACGAAGAGATGAAGAATGGACAGTTTCCAGTCAGTTTTTTTGTTGAGAAAAATGCCAAAACATCTTTCATCTAGTTGGTGGTTTCAAACATTTTTTATTTTCCATAATATATGGACCAATCCTTCCCAACTGACTTTCATTTTTCCCGAATGCGTAGCAAGGGTTCCCGTTTCACTCTGGGGGTCTGGGGGTTGAGGGTGTGTTCGCTCGACGTTGCTTCCGCGTCCGCAACCGTCCGCAACCGTCCGCGCGATCCCCGTATGGCCGTGCCTATGGGAAGTTCTGCAGAGGTGGTCCTTTTTGGTAGTTTCAGACGTCTCGTTGCTTCGTTTCGCGTGGCAGGCGTGCACTTCGTGACATTCAGACGTGTTTTGTAACGTGTCGAAAGTCGTTTTGTGTGGCAGGCGCAATACTTTTGCGAGGTTTTCAGAAGATGTGTTGCATTTTTCGTGGCAGGCGCAGCACTTTGGACATGTCCATCGTCATTTTTCGTGGCAGGCGCAGCACTTTAGACGTGTCGTGTTGCGTGTTATTGCAAATCGCATTGGCAGGGCTGCGTCAAGTGGCGACAAGGTGCAAATTCCGTGGCAGGCGTGGCATTTTGTGCGATGTGGTGAAAATTGACGGAAGCCTCGCACGAAACATCGATTTTGAGGTTGCACATTTTCAGGTTCCAAGGAAAACTCGTAGGAAAACGTCGATTTTGAAGCTACAAAGTGTGAAAATTGGAGGAAGTCTCGCACGAAATGCTCGTTTTGGTGCTCCCACCTGTCTCGTCTCGGGTCTTTGGTTTTCCTGTGGCCTCGCCGTGTCAATGGGGGAAGCTGCAAAACTTGTCCTTTTGTCATGTTGCCAACTGTGAAAATTGGAGGAAGTCTCGTACGAAATGCTGGACGTGTCTTGTCTCGAGTCTCTGGTTTTCCTGTGGCGTCGCCGTGTCTATGGGGGAAGCGAAAACGTCTCCTATTCGCCAAGCAGGTTGTCATGTTTTTGCGTGGCAGGCGTGGCACTTTGTGACATTCCAAGTGTTTGATAACGTGTGAAAATGTCAAAATTGGAGGAAGTCTCGTACGAAATGCTGGTTTTTCTGCATCCACGTGTCTTGTCCGAGTCGCTGTTTTCCTGTGGCGTCGCCGTGTCTATGGGGGAAGCCGCAAAACCTCTCCTTTTCGAATGTTTCCAAGCAGGTTGTCATGTCGTTTTGCGTGGCAGGCGTGGCACTTTGTGACATTCCAACCTGTTTGATAACGTGTCGAAAATGTCAAAATTGGAGGAAGTCTCGCACGAAATGCTCGTTTTTCTGCATCCACGTGTCTTGTCTCGAGTCGCTGGTTTTCCTGTGGCGTCGCCGTGTCTATGGGGGAAGCTCCGCACTCCACACTCTACACTTTACACTCCACACTCCACAATTTACACTTTAGACCCCACACTCTACACTTTACACTCCACACTTTACACTTTGCACTTTACACTCCTCACTCCTCACCTGAGACTTTACACTCCACACTCCACACTTTACACTACACTCTACACTTTCCACTCCTCACTCCTCACTCTACACTTTACACTCCACACTCCACACTCTACACTTTACACTCCACACTCCTTACTTTACACTCCACACTTCACACTCCACACTTTCCACTCCACACTCCACACTTTCCACTCCACACTCCACACTTTACACTCCTCACTCCACACTTTACAATCGTCACTTTACACTCTACACTCCACACTCTACACTTTATACTCTACACTTTACACTCTACACTCCACACACTACACTTTACACTCTACACTCCACACTTTACATTTTACACTCCACACTCCACTCTACTCACCACACTCTACACTTTCCACTCCACATTTCGCACTCCACACTTTACACCCCACACTCTACACTTTACACTCTACACTATACACTCTACACTCCACGCTTTCCACTTTACACTCCACACTCCACACTCTACACTTTCCACTCCACACTCCGCACTCCACACTCCACCCTTTACTGTACACTCCACACTCCACACTTTATACTTTACACTCCTCACTCCACACTCCACACTTTACACTCCTCACTTTACACTCCACACTCCACACTCTACACTCCACACTCTACACTTTCCACTCGAGACCCCACACTCTACACTTTACGCTCCACACTCCACACTTTACACTTCACACTTTCCACTCCACACTTTACACTCCTCACTCCACACTCCACACTTTACACTCCACACTTCACACTCCACACTTTCCACTCCACACTCCATACTTTACACTCCACACTTTACACTCCACACTCCACACTTTACACTTCACACTTTACACTCCACACTATACACTTTACACTCCACACTTTACACCCCACACTCTACACTTTACACTCTACACTATACACTCTACACTCCACGCTTTCCACTTTACTTTCCTCACTCCACACTTTACACTCCACACTTTGCACTCCACACTCTACACTTTACACTCCATACTCCACACTCTACACTTTACACTCCGCATTCTACACTTTACACACTCTACACTCCACACTTTACACTCCACACTCCACACTCCACACTCTACACTTTCCACTCCACACTGCAGACTGGTAACAAGGGAAACATGTACAAGACTGTTCAAATAAACTATTGCAGAAAGGTATTGTGCGTGACTGCATAACCATGTGTTTTGACATCTGTACCATTAACATACGTGTGAGCATTCGGGTTCGTGGGCTTCATCTTGTTTCAGAGGGATAGGTCAACCACCAACCAGAAAACAACTTTCATCACTTGGTTTGAGGCTTTCAACCTAAGTCTAGAAAACACACCGGTGATAGATAGTTTCCATCAACAGTTTTACCAAATGTTACCTCACTGGAGGCTAGGATTCCGGGAGTTACCCCCAACCCACCATTTCAGGTTAGTGAAATGCCATTCTTTACCCAAGTCCAATTACAATCGTAACCTATGGAGAGTACATAATATCATTTCACTACCTTTTTTGGCAAATGATGTAAAAAATGCAAATGATATTATGGTGGTATGGCTATATGGTGGTGTGGCAAATGATATTTCACTATCTTATATGGATTTATGGCAGATGTAAAAATGAGTGAGATATCATAAATCCATATAGGATAGTGAAATGGTATTATGGTGTGGCATATGGAAGATCATCTCATCTCCGGCGCACCGTTGAGGTGGGCAAAGCGGTAGTGAACGGACCCCTCTTCAAATCTGCCGTGGCCGGCGACTTGCCGAATGTTTTTGTGGCTGGGAAACCTGCAAATGAAGGTTTCAATGAGAAAAATATCTATAAATGGTGGATTTGCCATCATTACTAGAAACTTATTTGCCACTACAATTTAAAGTTTTACTATGTTTTTCTGTTTTTTCAGGGCTGCTACACGCCCAGAAAATGATTCATCGTCATTTCTTTTTCTTTGTTCAAAAAATGAAATTTTGGGGTGTGACAACCTGTTTGATTTATGCCACCTGAATGACAGAAGGGAATTGTGATCCTGTACCTTCTGGGAATCCACACGGACCCATCAGTGCCAAGCTGTTTCGGCACCAGATGGCAGATGTCAGAATCCTCCAAGGAAAATGCATTCTTTTAGTTTCATGATTCACAATAGCTTCCAAATGATTCAAACACAAAAATCTTTGATTTCTTGAAAACTGTTTGGTGGTTTGGAACATTTTTTATTTTCCATAATATATGGGATAATCCTTCCCAACTGACTTTCATATTTTTCAGAGGGATAATATATGTACTTGGGTGAATTATAACGAGCTCAATGTGATGTCACTGAATTGATGGTGAATGTTTCGGGGAATCTTCCCTAAATGGCCCAACATGTCAGTTTTGGGGTGCCGAACCTTCCACCCGAGGAAACGACCCGAATGTTGGACGTTTGATCGGCAAGGTTGGTCAGACACTGGGCGCGTCTGGCGCGGTAATGGCGGAGGGTTGCGTCTGCAAAATAGGCGCGCACCGTCGAACAAACAACGAAAGAGTGTTACGACTTTCATGGGGATAATGATGATGATGATGATGATGATGATGATGATGATGATGATGATGATGATGAGCACCATCACATCACCATCTATCATGAGTCATTTGCCAGCCGTCATTTATCAATCAACACAAATTCTCGGCGTCATCATCATCATTGTCATCATCACCATCATCATCATCATCATCACCATCACCATCATGATCATCGTCATCATCATCGCCGTCACCATCACCATCATCATCGTCATCAACATCATCATCACCATCATCATCATCGTCATCATCATCACCATCATCATCATTATTATCATCTTCATCATCATGACCATCATCATCCTCGTCATCATCATCATCATCATCATCACCATCATCATCATCACCATCATCATCACCACCATCTCCATCATCATCATCACCATCATTATCATCCTCATCATCATCGTCAGCATCATCACCTTCATCATCCTCATCATCATCATCATCATCATCGTCATCATTATCATCATCATCACCATCATCATCATCGTCATCGTCATCATCATCATCATCATCATCATCATTATCGTCATCACCATCATCACCACCATCATCATCGTCATCATCACCATCATCACCGTCATCATCATCGTCATCATCATCAGCATGATCATCATCGTCATCATTATCATCATCGTCATCATCACCATCAAAGTTGTCACGCACCAACTATTACCTCCATCATCACCAAATTATTCATCATATGCCGTTTGCTCAAGACCAGAGCACCCATAGGAAAACAAACTACATTGATATTCGTTGTTAACGTCATTTAATTTATCTTAATTTGCAGGAGGGCAACTCCCAATGTATTGATGGTTGAATCTTTCATGTCCCGCTGATAACATCTTCATCATATCTGATGTGCCATCGGTATCAAACATGTTGTCTTTTTGAGTATGAACATGTATTCAATATTTAGTGTCATTTAGACTAGTTTGAACAGAACGGTTAATTACCAACTACTTTGACATGCTAATTCACTGATTCCAAATTGTTAGATTAATTGATTAAACTGACAGGTCACCAACTAATCAGCTACGATTCCAAACAAACTTTGTGATTTCTTACCCACTACCATAATTCACAAGCATCCTTGGTGAATCCTGTTTTTTGCTACCAAGTATTTTCATCAATTAGAGTTAAGCATAGCTTACTATTCATACATAAGGCAAACCATTAGGCACACCATTTACTAGCTACCACAGTTAAATTATATATATATACATATATATATATGCGGATATATTTGTGTTTTTGTATTTATGCACTGTGTGCCAATAAGTTTCAATTTCATATCATGTCATTTCATATCATACCATTTCATATCTCATTATATATATATATTATATCATATTTACGTCTTTCTTGATTTTTGCATCACATGGAGAGAGAGATATATATATATATATCACCTTGTTTGTTAATATGCTTAGTTCTCAACATGTTGACATCAAATCAGCCCAGGTGGTGAAACCATCTTTGAGGATGGTCAATTCCGCTTGGACACCGAGAAAGAACGACGGCTCAGTGGACATCTGAAGTTCGCCGCAGCCAACTGTTCCTGGGTGAAAACCATGGAATCTTTGTTGTGGACATGACAGTTGTTTGTATGGGGAAATCATCTTTAGATGTGGGATATAGTTGTGTATTGATTAAGCTAAGATAAATATAGCTTTTGACCACGATAAGTAAATATAGATAGTATATCTGGAGCGAGAGAGAGAGAGAGAGATGATATACTATGCGTGGTTCACAGGTATGGTTTTGGAGCCATGGGCATCTGTATGAGTTCATCAGGATGATCGTCCTGACTTCAATGGAAAATCCGAATGAGCACACCACACTACTACACAACACTACACGACATTACACTGCACTACACTGCACTAATTACACCACACTGCGGCTACAACTGCAACTGCACTTGCCAATGAATTAATTACACTACATTACAGCTACAGCTCCACCACACTACACTACAACTACGGCTACAGCTGCAACTACAACTGCACTACACCACACTACATCCAGCAGTTGCGGTAAGGTGACCACTTCTACCATTGCAGCCATTCCAAAAAACACAGCTCCAACCACCTGTCGGTCCATCAGTGGATTCGCTCTGCCATCCGTGATTCACAACAACCAGCCTCTCCTATAGGTTTCCTATTTTTGGAACTTCCGCCACCGCCTTGTGCGGTACTACTGGTAGCTTTATTTTCGAACCAATTGATCATACTAAGGTGGTTCTGTCCCTGTTCCAAATTATAAGCTGGATTTTAAACCCCATTAAATAGTTCCATATATGTATCATACCCTAACATCAAAAGCAGTGGCTTCTGGAGTTATTCAAACAACTTAGCGATTTAGTTTCCTGGGGCACCTGGTAATTTCAGGTGACCTCCCATACCCTGAACATCGACGAGTGGTAGATGTGGAAGTGATTCTGGGCGGAGGAGGTTCCGGCACCGCTGTGGTAACTTGTTTGTCAACATGGGTTTGGCTGAGAATAGCGGATACCCAGAAAGATTTTTTTTAATGGGGAAAATGTGAGGTTCTAGTCCGGAATTGGGGGTAACATGGGTAACCTAGTTTCAGACATACCCAGGTAGATATCGATATAATTCGATATGGTACGGTGATGGCACCATGATGGCCCATTTACTTTCATGATTTGTGGAGCATGGTGATGTCCCAAATAACCTCTACATTGAAGAGGATGGATCATCGGGATGGATCATCGGGATGGACATGAAGAGAGAGAGAGAGAGAAAACAAAAAAAAATGGTACTGATCAGATGGCATATCTGGTTGGTGGTTTGGAACATTTTTTTTATTTCCGGGTCAGTTGGGAATAATCATCCCAACTGGTTTTCATATTTTTCAGAGGGGTTGAAACCACCAACCAGATATTATAACCCAATTTTATGTTGAATATACATCGGGTCAACACGGAACATGGGCCACTTCATGCCACTTACTACGTGGGATGCACCCCCAAATGGTTTGGACCAAGAGGTTTGGGGAAAAAACATGTTGGTTTTACACCTGAAATTCTTGGTTACTCTGTGAGGTTGCGGAATGACAAACAAATTTATGATTGCAGGTTGTCTAGTTGTTTTTTGTGCAAAGGCGGGGTTTTTCAGCAAAAAAATGAGTTGAACATGATTTGGATATGTTTGGTTTTTTTTGTTTCCCTTCAACAAGGGGTATTTCAGGTTGGCCTTGCAAGCAAGCGTGCACACGCACCAGACCAGAGCAATGATTTTGCAATTTCGAATCTTTAGTGTAGCCAAGAGTTCCTCAAAATATTCAGGGATTGCTACATTTCATGAACTTAGCATAATTTAGCTAAGTTAGCTTAGAATGCTTTACGTTCAGGATTCTGATGCAATTTTTTTTGCCAGTTTGGGACTCCAAGGTAGCCTCCGAGCCTCCGCATCCAAGGTATTAGGATCCGACCTCACCACGGAATATGTCAAGATCAATGCAGACTACCGCTCCTAGTGACGAGATGTGACGAATTACCGCTGATATGTTTTCATTTAAACAATGTGAATTACCCTCCAGTCTCAAATGGCTAGAAACTCCGACATTTTAATCATTTATCAGTTCGATTTGGATTCCCATATATGAAAACCTCTATATATTTGGTGCGAGAATTGTCGAGCCATGTTTGATGACCTGAGGGTACACACCTTGTACAGTGTGCAGAGCTATGGCGCTGCCAGACCTGCGAAAAACAGCACCCGAAGGCCCGAAGGTCCATGAAGGTTCCAGGTGATGTCAGGGTAACTGGGACCTACAAACCTAGAAGACCCAGGAGTCATTTGGTATGACCCCTTTATGATGGCTTGTTCTTGGTTACCCTCTGGTGGACATACAAAAAAAACTATGGAAAATCACAATTTTTAATGGGTAAATCCACTATGGCCATTTTCACTAGCTATGTTAGTTTACCAGAGGGTACTAATTATTATGGTTTACATTGGTTTACTAATTGTGGTTTATGATGGGTTCCTGATGATTTAAATTGTCGTTGATCCCTTCACTATTCACAAAAATGGTGAAAGCCTCACCAAAAGCTGAAGAGACTCTCTCCCCGATTTGGTTTTGAATGTTTTGAGGCTTGGCATTCAACTGATTTGGACTTCCGATGTGCAACAGGCGCTCTCCTCCAAGGACAGTGCAGCATGGTTTTCCAGTGAAAGGTTGTCACCAACATCTCCAAGAAAGGGTTGCAACAAACATCGCAACCGAAGATCATGAATATGATGCAAAAGTAGGATACTTTGGGTGCCCTATTTTGTGAAAATATACACACAGATATATATACATATATATATATATACATATGTATATATACATACAGTTACATATTTTTCCTGTTCACAGGTGTTTGACGCATCATGGAAGTGGTGACTCATGCTGCCGTCTTTTTGTTCTCAAGTTCAATCTGGTTGTTATCCCCATGGACCATCCTCTCTTTGCCCCGGCTGCCATAGGGAGCTTCGTTCTAGGCTGGCTTGCGAGGGAGTGGTCCACATATCCACCGAAGTTGGAGTCGGTGCCCTGTAAGTGCCAGTGCAATTGCAACACATCTGGCAGCTCTGAGGTAGGGTGGCTGGGGAACGTGTTGGTGTTGGTTGGTTGCGTTTTGGGGTGCCTCTTGGTGTGCTCCAACGCAGCCCTGGCATTTCGATTCTCATATCGAGACTCAGAGTCTGGCAAGCGCCACGAGTTCTCTGTAGGAGTCAAGGGCAAGAAAGGGGGTTTCGGAGTTTACGGTGTTCCCAAAGGGCTTCAATTGACTGAAGGATGAATCTGAACATTGGCGACCTTGCATATGTGGATTATGGCGAAGGCCCACCACAAGTTGTACATTGCAGACTCATTCTGGATGTGGTAGATGCACCGGGAAGTGAATTTATCATAGGGACCCCTGACTTCGACGTTTACTCAGAGGTTTTGGATCCGGGCGTGAATGGAGATATCACTCGTGTTTGGCAAGGGCGTGCAAACGGGGCTCTCCCCGCTGGCCTTAGAGGTGATCGGGTGTATGGATTTGCTCCCATGACTATGCAGCAGCTCACTCGTCTCATGGACCAAGGTCGTGCAGAGGGACAGTTGGTTCGAGCTGCACGCGGGCTAGCCGCTGCGCCTGCAGCTGCAGGCATTGGTGGTGTCAGGGCTGGCGTTGCAGCTCCTGCTCCAGGCGCTGGTGGTATGGGGGTTGGTCCTGCAGGGCCTGCTCCAGTTCAGTTCTGGGTGCTGGGTGAAATGGTGGTTGGTCGTAAGATTGGAGAGCGTGTAGTTCCGGGACCGGAGTTGGTTACCCTTGGCGACTATGGCTTGTGCAACATTACGGGTACTGACAATGTTGAGCGCCCATGCTTGGTTCGACGATTGACGGACGATGCGGTTGCTGCTTTCTGTGATGACCGTATACTCCTGGCGAGGTCAGCTGAAAGCTCTGATGGTGTTGAGAAGTCCGTGGCCGAGGACGTCAGAACCCTTGAGGTACGCTATGCTTCTAATGGAGAGAGGCAGCGTAACTTCAGGGAATCAGTTCGTGAATTATCTCAGACTGAATTTGACGATTGGCCATTGGAACCGAGGACAGCACTGGACTATGTGCGTGCTGTGTCAGGTATCGCTGAAAGTGCTACTGCACAACACCATATATGGATCAACTCAGCTGGCATCCCTCCAGGGGATAGGTCGGTCTATGAAGACCAGCTCCTTGCAAGAGTGCTAGACACTGCACTGTGCTATGACTCATTAAACATTGCAAATCTGGCTTGCATGGAGTTGGTGTGCCGCAGGAGACAGCTTCTGGCAGATGCTCACTCGGGCTCCCCAGGTGCTCCATCATATCTTGGAGCTGAACACTATCTTGGAGAGACCTACAAGATGGGTGGCGGGATTGTCGTCCCATCGTTGACTGACCACGTCAGTAAGAAGATGCAAGCACAAAGTCAGATCATGAAGGAGAAGAGGAAGCTCTCCGAGGCGACTAGCTTGGGAAAAGGTGGCAAGAAAGGTCAACCAGTACCAGTACAACCCAAAAATCCTCCCCCTGCTAAAGCTGGGGGGGGTGCTGCGTGAGAGCTTTTGCGCTGGTGGTGGCTTGGCGGTGTGGCCATCACTGTTTCTTGCGCTTTTTCGACACTGCGAAGATGAGAAGTCGATGGAGCAGCCCGATTTTTCATGAGCCGACTCCTGATGATCGCAATAGGGACATTTTTCCATTGCCTCGTTTGAGGGTCGATGCTGTACAAAAGCATAGCTTGTGTCGGGCCACTTCAAGGAGAATTTTGTGTCGGGCAAGGATTGCTGAGAGAGCTAACCAGGCCATTGACAGTTTGAATTCGCTTTTCTTTGGGACCTCTGGGTTCCCCACAGTGGAGGCTGTGGGTGGTTTGGATGGGTTGCCTTTATTACAGAGGGAGGCAATCACTTCGATCCTGTCTGCAGTTCGAACTATGGGTGCCCCACCCACTGCAACTGACTCGGGAGCACTTAAGGCGCTCCGGGTGGCTGCCTCTGCTTATTTTGAACCAGAGGTTAGCGTTGGTGACGTGGTGCCATTGCAGCTGGAGCGTTTGTCGCTTCCTGATGGAAGTGGAGCTGGCGTGGAGTTGCGATCGGCGCTTGATAGCTCCCTTCAGGGGGTCGTGGATAACTTTGAGGGTGTCATGCTGCAGGACCCTGATATTTGGACAAGTATTTCTAGGGATTGCGCCCACCTTAAGCCCTACAGTGACCCATCGCTGAAGGATAGATCCAAATACCTTACTTTTCTTAGGATGATGTATGGTTGTGGGATTCTTTCTTTCGTCAATCGATGCCGGGGGAGGGTAGGTGCATTTACTGTCAGCAAGAAGCCCAAAAATATTGGAGGGGTGACTCAGCAACGTCAAAGACTTGTGTTGGATTGTCGTCAGACAAACTTGTTGTTCAAACCTTCACCTCATACAGAATTGGGAAGCCTTGCAAGTCTTGCGGAAGTGGACTTGCCTAACGATGCTACACTATTCTTGGGGGGAGCCGACATCCAGGATTGTTTCTACGGTGTGCATATTCCTACTGAGATGATGGAGTTCTTCTGTTTTGAGTTTGATATCTCAGGAGCCGATGCCAGGTGGGTATCGGGAGGTCAGTATACTGGGGATGATGGTACCATGGTTTCTCCTTGTGTTAATGTTTTGCCTATGGGATTTTCCTGGTCATTCTACTTGGTACAGCATATTCATCAGCATGCCGTGTTGCGTAGCCTGGACATTACAGAGGGTGAGCTCTTCCTTGATGCACGTCCTCCTCCTCTCCTCCATGAAGGTGGTATATATAGCATGCCTTATTGTGACAATATTCATTGCCTATCTCTCGAACGGGATCGCTGTGAACACGGTAAGCAAGCGATTGTCGATGAACTCGGCAACATGGGATTTTGTATTCACGAGGACGCCCCTGCCAGCCATCACTTCGAGACATTGGGTGGGCTGGTGGACGGAGAGGCGGGACATGTGCGGATGACAAATCGACGCGCATGGGACCTCAAATTTGCTTTCGAACATGCTGCTTCACATGTGGTTTCCCCTGATATTATGAGAAGATTGTTGGGACATGCAATGTTTTTCTCTACATTGAACCGATCCGGCATGTCAGTTTTTCGACGTTGCTATGATTTTATTGAGAGCAATTGTGAACCTCGGATGCTCAATAAGCAAGAGTCGCGTGAGTGTATTATTTTCTCAGGTCTCATTCCATTGCTCTTTGCTGACATCAAACGTGGTTGGTCGGATGTTATCACCTGCGCTGATGCCAGTCCTGATGGTTTTGGTATTTGTGAACAGCGTGTTGGTGGTGCATCTGCACAACGCTTGGGCAGGTGGAACGAGCGCTGGAGATTCAAGCGCCTGGGGCCTGAGGAGTGGGCACCACGCAGGCGGGCTCTTCAGAGGGATCCGGTTTGTGACCCCATTACAGTAACAGGGTTGGGACATGATGGTGATTATGATGACGATCTTGTCAAACTTAATGAAGATTTCCCAGAGGTTGATTGTCGATTGCTGCGTCCTTCGCTTTGGAAAACTGTTTTGATGGGAAAGTGGCGCAGTCATGAACACATCACACTGAAGGAGGGCCGCGCTCTCATCATTTGTCTCCGCCGTCTCTCGCGGTCAAGTCACAGTCGGAACAAGAAACATGTCATATTAGTAGACAATTTTTCTTTGGCACTTGCAGTGTCCAAGGGCAGAGCAAAGAATTTTCGGCTGCTCCGGATTACACAGCAGGTGGCAGCTTTGTCTCTTGCTGCCGGGCTGGGTCTCCGACTACGTTGGCTGCCCTCAGAACTCAATCCAGCCGATGGCCCCTCAAGAGGCCAGATCCAGCCGGGTGCTTACCGGCAGTTTGCTGATAGCGCCCACGAAGATGAATCCGAAGAGGTGCCTCACACCAAAGCCGAAGGTGGTGAAGAAGATGAATGTAAGCAGCTCGAGCTCGAGCAAGCCGACGGTCAAGCCGTCGACGTCTCGCATCTTGAAGCCGAAGGATACTCCAGTGAAAGCTGCCCCTCCACCTCGAAGGGTGGTTGGTCGTATGGTGATGGAGCCTGTAGAGATGTTGGGAAAGAGGGCCCAATCGAAGCTTCTTACCATGCTGGAGACCCGTTCAGTGTCCAAGGAGGTGCAACATCAATATCGACAGTACCTGGCGAAGTTCGAGAGTTTTTGCCGGGCCAGCGGATTGGGATGGCCAGTTCACAGCAACGTGGACGACATTCTTGTAGACTTCTTGGACGTGCTGTTTCTAGATGGAGGCTCGGCGGCGGAGGGAGAGAAAGTGGTTGCCGCGGTGGAGTTCGAGCAGATCCATCTCAAAGGCACTTTGGTGCGGTGCCGGCGGGCTTTGAAGGGATGGAGGCGAGAACGTCCTCCTCAAAGCCGACTACCCTTGCCTCGTCTGATTGCTTGTGGAATGGCAATGGCCATGGCTGCTCAAGGAAAGAAACTGATGTCCTTGAAACTCATGGTGGACCACGACACGTACCTCAGACCTGGCGAGAGCATAGAGCTACGAGGACGAGACATAGTTCCTCCAGTTCGCAGTGCAGGTCGTCAGTATCGCTGGCATTCCGTGATTGTCAGGGACAGCCAGGACCTCAAGCCAGACAAGGTGGGGATCTTCGACAATTCAGTGCCTCTGAATTCTCCAGGCCGAGAGTATCTCGGTCCCTTGATGATGGCCCGGGTGAGCAAGTTGAACAACAAGGACGACTTCATCTACCCATTCTCTGCAGCAGAGTACAGGAAGTGCTTTCAGAGCGTGGGAGAGTTGCTCAACATCAAAAGTTTGCACCCTTATCAAACTCGTCATGGAGGAGCGTCAGAGGACCTGAACAGTGGAGAAAGAGATGCTCAGGCCGTGAAGATCAGAGGTCGATGGCATACCGATCAAAGCGTGCGAAGGTACGGGAAGGTGGGGAAGATCCAACGACTGATGGCAACTTTGTCACCAAGTCACATGGAGTATTGTCAGTGGTCGCAAGCAAACATGGAGAGAATGCTCAAGGGCCAAGTGACCCCTCGACTGCCATGAACCTAGGTTGGATGGATGTTTTCTCGATCAGTTTATTGCCTGAGAGATTCTGCCTCGAAATTTTTTCTGGTACAGCTCGCATTACTGATAGATTGAATTTTCACAATATTCCCGCTTTTCCCATTGATATTTGTCTATTTCCTTCGCACAATGTTTTACATGTGGATGTCGAGCATACCATTGTACACTGGATTCAGCAGCGTAGGATTGCTTTCATATGGCTGGGCATGCCTTGCACCAGCTTCTCACAAGCTAGAAAATGGGATGATGTGGGGCCTGGACCATTGCGTGATTACGACAATTTGTTTGGATTTCCTTGGCTATCAGCAGGTGACAGATTCAAGGTAGAACAGGGTAATCAGCTTCTGCGTTTTTCGATTCGTATTTTGGAGCTTTGTCAACAATATTCGATTCCCTATGCCCTTGAGAATCCTGCCACTAGCTATATCTGGTATATGCCTCCCATGCTGAAATTTCGCCGCAAATATGATCCTGGTCTTGTTATCTTTGATTTTTGTCAATACGGAGAAGACTGGAAAAAACCTACTGCTGTTGTTGGTAACTTTTGGGACCTGCATACTCTGAACAAACGATGCACTGGTACATTTAAGTGTTGCTCCGCAACCCATCGTCCACATGTTCCGCTGGCAGGTCTCTCTACCTGCGGCATTTTCAGAACCCTGCTGGCTCAACCGTACCCTTGGAAGTTGGCTGCATTGGTCGCGGAACAGGTGGCCAAAGTCATATGAATATGGGTATGGGTACTAACTGGCGGGTTGCATCAGCAGCTACACGTTGTGGCTGCCTTGACTTCACCTTGATGTTCCTGACGGACATTTGAAACAACCGTGTCTGCTTTGGCAGCAGTGAAAATGGCCGCTGGAATGAGTGAAGTCATTTTTCCTGTTCACAGGTGTTTGACGCATCATGGAAGTGGTGACTCATGCTGCCGTCTTTTTGTTCTCAAGTTCAATCTGGCCACCACCGGCCCCTCCACCACGACTAACTGGCGGGTTGCATCAGCAGCTACACGTTGTGGCTGCCTTGACTTCACCTTGATGTTCCTGACGGACATTTGAAACAACCGTGTCTGCTTTGGCAGCAGTGAAAATGGCCGCTGGAATGAGTGAAGTCATATATATATATATTATATGGTAAAATAGTAAGCTTATATTGCATAGTAATGGGGTTGTGACCCAGCACCCGCAGTTTGTCATGGCTACAGCATGTTCCAACCCCACTTGCACTTGGGTGGGTGTGTCAATGGTATGGTCGGATGAAAATTGTGTGATTGCGTTGGTGATTGGGTTACACATAGTCAGTCGTTGCAGAGATATATGTAGTTTGAGTTTGCCTGATACCCAGGACATTTTCTACAATTGATGTAGATGCAGTTAGTAGGGTGAAATGGTGAGTGACCAACTGTGTTTTGAAACAACCTTTTAGTATGTTTTAGCCTTTTGTGGTGTACAACTTCTGCAGAAATTGGTTCCCAAATTCTAGTTTTTGCCAGGACAAAGGGGTGATGACTTCGACGAATCGAAAGTGCCTCGGCAATGCAATGTCTACCAGCTCAGGTCAATGATAGGTTTGCTTTTGCAGGAGGGATGCATTGTTGGAAGAAACGAGACTTTGGCTCCACCTTTGGCAATTTAACATAGCTATGGAAAACTACCATACATGATAGGTAAATCATCCACAGATGGTTCATTTTTCCATAGCTATGTCCAATTACAAGAGGGTATATCCAACCATGGCCTCGTCTTGTAAACCATGCGTATTTTGGAGGGGAAGTCAGATGTAGTATAAATATATATATATATTTGTACATGTATTTGGTAGTAAATCATGCCACTTAATTGGCGTGTTCATGTTCCCTTTTTCTTTAAGAATATCGCATAAATCGGGTCCACCCAACATGAAACATCTGGGGATGGTGGCACCATTTGTACAGGATGGGGCCCCCGTTCGACAGTTTTCAGTTGCCTGAAATTTGTGGCTGAATTCTATGGTTTATGGCAGATACCCTCTGGTAAACTAACATAACTATGGAAAATCACTATTTAATGGGAAAATCCACTATTAATGGTCATTTTCAATAGCAGCTATGTTAAATTACCAGAGGGTACATCTATAGTAGATGGGGGCTTATAAACCAACAAACATCACTGGTGGGCACCATCTTGTAGAAAATAATGATCACTTTTAGGGGAAAACCTACTATCAACGTTTAGCAAAAGGGGTCAAATGCAAAGACCCTACACAGAAAAAAAATGCACCATTTATTTATATTAATCATTCACGTTTGGCTTAGAGCAATCCCCAAAATGATGGAACATGATGGAACAATATAATCCGATCCGGAAAATGGTGGCACATGACTTTCTAGATGTGTTTTTTTGGGGGTTTGATCATTATAATCTTGACCCTAACCCAGCTGTGTCTGAAAATGGTGTTAACCTCAACTGGCCATCAAATGATAGGAGAAATGATCATAGTCTCTGTCTCTGAGAGTCCATTAGGATTTTTTTTGTTTTTCTCTGCTGCATTTTCAGAGAAACCATCACCACCATCACCCACCACCTACCCACCTTCTGAGGTTCATCAACTTGCTGAGCGACCTCACATCCATCTGTTTGCAGGGCAGCCTCACGAAGTTTCCCTCTCAGAAATGCCCAAGGTGGCCCGTATCATTGGTTTCACTGCTGGTTTAAGCAACAAACATAGGGATTTAGCATGATTTAACCCAGAAAAATGGTGATATAATATGAAACTATACGACAGAATGGGATATTATGATATGATGGAGGTTACTTGGACAAATGTTGAGACCTCATGTTTGATGAAAATTGGATGATTCCCTATCATCCCATATCGTCCCCAAAATGCCACACTTGTCAGGTTGATAGGTAATGGAAGAATTACTGTATAGGAAACAGCCGTTTTTACCAGCATTTTGTTCAGGGATTTACTTCACAATTGCCAGACTTCACAATTGCCAAAACATGTGGATTTTTTGAGGATGATTCCTATTTTTCCAAGTACTTAATCTACCATTTGGAATCCATTGGGATATATCGAGATTTCTTTTGTGAAACCGTTTTTTCTTGATCTTCAGATTCCACATATTCAAGTCATGAAGATCATTAGCAACTCATTTTACCTTGTCTCAAGTTGCTGCCACTCGTTTTTACTTACTTGAAGATGTTGGCGAATCCTGGATTTGTCAAATGTTTTGATGCTGAAAAAACATTGGCAGATTTGGGTTTGAGCTATTTTAAGCAACGCAGAAACTCAGGGAATTTTAGGCTTTTTTTGTGGCGAATCAGCGGGGATTCGAGCCATGTTTTCGCATCTCTTTTTTTCGCAGTCACGTTGGTTCTCCAAAAAAAACTGCTAAGTTTCATGAATCAATTTCTGGTTGGTGGTTTTCAAATCATGGGAAAATCATAGGAAAATCATTGGAAAACATGGAAAAATACTGGTTGGTGGTGTTTCAAACATTATTTTCCAAAAAAAAAAGGGATGTCATCCTTCCCATTGACGAAGTCCATCATTTTTCAAGATGGGCACATTGCACCACCAACCAGATTTGTGAACATAAATTGGCCAGGTTCGCAACATCTCCAAATCGAAACCAGGAGTTGACTTGGTTCATCACTCCGAGATGGACCAGCTGTGGATGAATTGGAGGTCAACAACCTGTAAAAAAAAGACAGGGCTGGTTGGTGGTTTGGAACATGTTTTTGTTTCCCCATTCAGTTGGGAATGGAATAATCATCCCAACTGACTTTCAATCAGATTTTTCAGAGGGGTGGCGAAAAACCACCAACCAGCTGTAAACAAAAACCCAGTTTTTTTTTCCTCAGGTTTTTTAATGTTTTTTTCCGGTTTTTCCAGGTAAAAAACAGGTTTTTGTTCCCCCGAAAATCCTCCAGTTGAAGCGAGTCAGTGGCCACTTCCGAGGTTGAAGCGCATCAAATATGAAACCTTGGTGACTTGGTTTGACTCGTGAACCAAGTGGCAGAGATTCGTGGATTCTAAGTGAATTCTACAAAAGATATGGATGGAAAATCAGCCCCAAACCTAGGAAAGTCAACTATACCCTTTGGTAAAGAAACATAGCTATTGAAAATTGCCATTTATAGTGGATTGACCCATTAAACATGGTGATTTTCCAACACATATTAGAGTTACCCTCTGGTAAACATACAAAAAACATATGGAAAGATCCACCATTTTTAATGGGTAAATCAACTGTAAATGGGTCATTTTCAATAGCTATAGTTATACATTGTGTGTATTATATACTGGTTGGTGGTTTGGAACATGCGTTTTATTTTTCCATCATATATGGATTAATAATCCCAACTGACGAACTCATATTTTTCAGAGGGGTGGCTCAACCACCATAGTTATACATTGTGTATATTATATATACACATGTTCAATACCATAAACAATATACAACACATCATTACATGTATAGTATATATGTGTTGTATTAATTTACAATGTACATGTTGATTACCTATGTGGGGGAAAGATCTAATTTGATAAATGATTTATGGACATATATATATATATATGTAATTAATGTATGTAATGTCATGTCATGTAATGTAATGTAATGTAGTGTAATGTAATGTAGTGTAGTGTAATGTAATGTATGTATGTATGAACGTATGAATGTATGTAATGTATGTATTTAATGTAATGTAATTTAATGTAACGTAACGCAACATAATGTAACATAATGTAACATAATGTATTGCAATGTAATGTATTGCATGTAACGGAATGTAGTGCAATGCGATGCAATGCGATGTAATGTAATGTATTGCGTGTGCAATATTTCTCTAAGGGCAGATGTGCATGCATATCTCCATGCATATGGATTGGTTTTCGTAGCAACGGAAATCTGTTCCAGAAAAAATGTCGTTTCTGGATCCTGGAAAACGGGATTTGGATGCTATCAGATAGGCCTATACTTCAGTGCCGTGTTTGGTTTTTGTCATGGTTTATCAATGTTTATCCACTACAGGTCTAAAAACCAACTTTCTGATATTTGATTGTCTTGTTTCATCCAGTTTTGAAGCCCAAAGGTGTGGGTTTCACGATACTTTCAAGAAGGGCTCATAGCCGATTCCCGGTCCAACCCTCTGAAGTGAGGTACCGGGATGTACGAAACTGGTACACAGGCGTGACAGGTTCAGCACCCATCATTTCCCCCATTGCAATCCCAAATCATCCAATTTTTGGATCATTAGCCTCTTGAAAACTAAGATGAGTCCCTTTCAGAAAAGTATAGTTTTGACACTTTTTCCGGAACATGTCCAAATGTTCAGGGTTTTTCATCTGAAATTTCAGGGAGCTTCGGACCTTCCGGGTGAGGTCACCATCCATGTGCACCAGAAGGATCTTTTTCAAGAGGCGCCAATGGGAATGGAGCTGCCATGGTACGCTAAACCATGTACCCTCTGGTTATTTAATATAGCCATGGTATAGATGGCCCATTTATAGATGATTTATCTATTAAAAATGGTGATTTTCCATGGCTATGTTAAATAACCATAGGGTAATTTTTGGGATTCGCAAAAAATGTCATTCAAACCATTCAAACCAAGCATCTTTGAAGTGTTTATTACAGTGTTTATATACATGTTTATACCACCCATCAGAAATGGTGATGACTTGGGGGTAGTTTATGGCAGTGGGTTTACAACATTTGATTGTGCTACGAGCGTACTACCAGGTACTGTATACCCTTGGATTCTTGTCACATAATTTGATGACAAGACATGGTCTTGTGTCTTGGGAGCTTCCGATCAACCACTCCAGCAAATCAATTTCTATCTCCAGTGGACAGCGGTGCCAGAACATCATTGTACCCTCTGGTTATGTCAAAATAGCTATTGAAAATGGCTCATTTATAGTTGATGTACCTATAAAAAATGGTGATTTTCCATAGCTATGTTAGTTTACCAGAGGGTAAGATATAGCTGTGGCATATCCTTCCAAGTCTGCAGGGCCACCGGGGCCACCTCTATCTGACTCGATCGTTTCCAAGCGCCCTGCTCCACCTGCTGTGTTGAGGTGATGAAAAAGCCCAAAGATGCACGGGTGAAAGATGAAAATGACTTTGAGTGGCTGAAGCAGTTGGAACCTCAAAGAACTTCTGAATATTTCTGAATGCTGCTGAGCAAAGTTCATGGGTCATATGGATTTCATATGAGTCATATGGGTCATTTGCATATGTTAATATTGGGTTTGCATATGTTACCATTGGTAAATATACGACCGAGCTCTGCATGCTCTGCGCCCGAGCCCTGGAATTTCTGGAATCCCTGGAATCCCCTGGAATCCCTGGAATCATGGTGAAAAAAAGCGGCACTCATCCCGAAAGGGCCAAAAAAGAATTCAGGGTGAATCATTATAATATGCCCAGATAAATATACATATACCATTTGGTTATGACTAACATAGCGAACTGGAAAATCCCAACCATAAATGGAGGTTTCTAGCTGGGAAAATGATCTATTTCTATGGGCCATCTATACTATATACCATGGCTATGTTAGTCATAACCAGAGGGCACATAAATATACGTCTATCCCGAGAGACCCATAGTGACCAAGAACAGGTTGAAGTGGCGAAATTGATCTTGAGTTGGGTGAGAGATGGCAACAAAGGAGCGGCAAATGCCTTGGGTTAGCATTTTTGTGATGCAATCTTTGCCAGCCAGCAAACTAGGTAGGACTTTGAAATCCAAGAAGCAAAAAACAGTGATTAGCTTAAAGTCCCCAAAAACGCCAACACTCAAAAGAAAAAGCTGTGATTTGCCAAGAAGTTCCCTTTTCAAACCAAGGACTCGCTTGTACTGGAGCACTGAAAATGACCATGCCGTAATTTCCATCGCTGACGTGGATTTCGTTGGTTCTCAGACGGGAAGGGAACAGCCACTGATTCAGAAACCCCCCATTGGAGATGCCGAAAGTTGTGGGAGGTGACACATATTTACCAGTGCTTTCCAGGTTTCCAACTTATCAACTTTTGGGGGGTGCGAGAATTGTCCCAAGTTGCTGATGTTTCGGTGAAAAACATGGCATAAAATGCCTAGTGGCCTCTGCAGATCTAACCAATCTAACCAGGCATCAGGGTCGTTGGAGCACGGTTGGATTCTGTGACAGATGCGCTGAGATCTACTCGTATGAGTATTTGGGCTGCAAAGAGCGGTGGGGACCCCTAGGCTTCTCAGAGGCTTCCGGCAGCTGGGTGCAGCTTTTAAGAACTGCGAAAACCCATGTGGCTTTGTCTGAAAATTTGGTAATCATCCCCAAATCCAATGAATTATCATCATTTCCCCTATTCAAATTGCTATTTGGGGGCTATATCCCATTGACCGATGTGGATGGTAAAGTTGATTAATCAGTTGGAAATACACATCACTGCAATCTATTTGGGGGAAAAAAACGTGTTCCTGCAGTGGGTGATGATGATAGCCCACCATATACATCCATATACCAAACGCCCAGTTGACCATTGCTTGAACGCTTTTTCTGAAGCATAAACAAGAGGAAGACTTGTTGGAAACATCTGTACTTGGTGGCTCATCCCACTTAGTACGTGGGCCATAACCCCAGTTATAAGTGGATTAACCCTACTTATCCCATTTATAACTGAGGTGAACTAACCCACTTACTAAGTGGGTAGTTCGCCACCAAGTAGACTATGATTATTGACCACTCATTTTCCCAATTTCCATGGGTTTCCTAAATTTCTGTCCCTTCCATCGCCCCTAAGAATCCGATCCCAGCTGGGATATGAAAACAACTCGCTGACTGGGATGGTGATGGTGAACACCTGGCACTTGCATTTTTGTTGGATGTACCCTCTGGTAAACATACAAAAAACTATGGAAAATCACAATTTTTAATGGGAAAATCCACTATAAATGGTCATTTTCAATAGCTACGTCAAATTACCAGAGGGTATTTGACACCAATGTAAGCGAAGATGTGCAGGAAACCCTCATTGTGAATGACATGTTCTGGATGAAATCCAGGAATATCCATGGTTTCCATTCTTTCTCTTTGCGGCATTGGAAAATGTCAACTTAAAGAGCTTTCTGATCAATAACGGAGATTGTTACAATATTGATTCAACCATGACTGGTTTTCAACCATGACATTTCAGAGGGGTAGGTCAACCACCAACCAGTTGTATGTATAATATGTGTATTTGGGTGAATTTGATCACGAGCTCACGTCGCGACGTCACTGAAATGATTCGGTGAATGTTTAGGGGAATCTTCCCAACAGTTGGCCCAACATGTCAGTTGTTTATGTTGTTTTCCCTCCGGGTTAGTGAATTATGAAAAAATCAGCCAGATATTAATGTTAACACGAACTAAACTTCTGGAAAGCAACCAGTTGAGACACTGGCTGAGTAAACTGAACTATATTATTCTTACAATAAATCCATTAAATCAACATATTCAACCAACCAGCTACGGACAATTCCTGCAATAAGTGGGTTGTATATCAACTTTAATATCCCATATACATCCCATAAATCCATATAAATCCTCCATTTTTGCCATTTTTGCTGGTCAAATCACCAATGAGATTCAGCCACTTACCCTAGGCTGGTCATCACGGCCCTGACAGACCGTTGCTACCTGACCCAGCCGCTGGCCCAGAGGGAATGCTGGCCGATTTTGATCATTATCATTTGGTCGCGTCTTTTTTTTTTTAAATGTGTTTGTCTGCTATTACTTTTGTTTGTATTGCTGGTGATCGTGATGATGATGATGATGACGACGACGACATGAATTCATGTGGATTCAACCAACCCCACTGGCCCGTTCTCAGGTCGCAGGCTTTGGGGATGTTCTTTGGAGGAGCGTGTGGCCCTGAGGACGATCATGGGTTCCCTTTGAAACTAGACGTGGAACATCGTGGGACATTCACAACCTGGGCTTGGAAGATGCAGGTTTTTCCAGGTTTCTTGGCTTGATATGTGGCGGGTATTCACCTTGACTTGATCGTCAATGTTCCTAATTGCCGCATAAGACCTGTAGGTTGCCAACATACAGCCCCAAACCCGGTCGAAAGGGAGCGCATAAGACCTGTAGGTTGCCAACATACAGCCCCAAACCCGGTCCAAACCCGGTCCAAAGGAAGCGCATAAGACCTGTAGGTTGTCAACATACAGCCCCAAACCCGGTCCAACAGAGCGCATAAGACCTGTACTTGGTCAACATACAGCCCCAAACCCGGTCCAAAGGGAGCGCATAAGACCTGTAGGTTGCCAACATACAGCCCCAAACCCTGTCCAACAGAGCGCATAAGACCTGTAGCTTGTCAACATACAGCCCGAAACCCTGTCCAACAGAGCGCGTGACCGGGATGGCCGGCAACTAAAAAAGGCTATTGTGGAGGCTTGTAGGTTGCCAACATACAGCCCCAAACCCGGCCCAACAGAGCCCATAAGACTTGTAGGTTGCCAACATACAGCCCCAAACCCGGTCCAAACCCGGTCCAAAGGTAGCGCATAAGACCTGTAGGTTGCCAACATACAGCCCCAAACCCGGTCCAACAGAGCGCATAAGACCTGTACTTGGTCAACATACAGCCCCAAACCCGGTCCAAAGGGAGCGCATAAGACCTGTAGGTTGCCAACATACAGCCCCAAACCCGGTCCAACAGAGCGCATAAGACCTGTAGCTTGCCAACATACAGCCCGAAACCCTGTCCAACAGAGCGCATGAGACCTGTAGGTTGCCAACATTCAGCCCCATTTTGGTCCAACAGAGCGCATAAGACCGTAGGTTGCCAACATACAGCACCAAACCCGGTCCAACAGAGCCCGTAAGACTTGTAGGTTGCCAACATTCAGCCCCATTTCGGTCCAACAGAGCGCATAAGACCTGTAGGTTGCCAACATACAGCCTGAAACCCTGTCCAACAGAGCCCATAAGACCTGTAGGTTGTGAACAAACAGCACCAAACCCGGTCCAACGGAGCCCACAAGACTTGTAGGTTGCCAACATTCAGCCCCATTTCAGTCCAACAGAGCGCATAAGACCTGTAGGTTGCCAACATACAGCCCCAGACCCGGTCCAAAGGGAGCGCATAAGACCTGCAGGTTGCCAACATACAACCCCAAACCCGGTCCAACAGAGCGCATAAGACTTGTAGGTTGCCAACATACAGCCCGAAACCCGGCCCAACAGAGCGCATAAGACTTGTAGCTTGTCATGTTGAACACAACATTTCATGTGTGTGAAGACTGAGGCCCGCCGGCCCTGCTGGAACTGGCAAAACCGAAACCACCAAGGCTGGTGGATGTGACGGAAGTGTCATGGTGCCCTGGGTAAAGCACAGAAACTCACATTGTGTGAAACCCAATAAACTAAACCTACCATATTTATCCATAGCACCCATTTATGCTGATGGTGGGGATGATTTATCATTGGTTTACCACCTTAAATTAGAAAATTTGCCAACGCCCATGAAGTGACATAAAATTGAACTATAATCAATTGATGCTTGGGACAGGTGGAATATGATGGAAGGGCTTTGTGAAATGACCTTCCATCGAGGGGTAAGTCGGGGTCGGTTCTTGGTCTAGACACTTGACCAATGGTAAGTTTTGTACCAGGTAGATGACTTAAGGTCAGCGATGGACATGTTTTGCTGCGAATGGATCGTGGAATTCAGCTGGATTTGCGTGGTGCAATGTTGCCTTAATGTTGTTCGAGAAACAATTTGACTCTTTAGTTCATTGTTTGTTACTGTTTGACACATGATATGACATCATTGGTTTAGTCTTCAACTCATGTTCCGGGATGTTAAGTTAGTGCCTTCATAAGCCATTCCTCCACCTACCGAAGCTGGCGTCCATTTGATGAGCGGTGAAATCTTGAGAAGGGTTCCCAATGTATCAAACAAGGATTGTACGGTTTTTAGGGAGTAATGTTGTTGAAAATGAAGTAGGACATGAGTATGTATATAAACCCCAAAAAAACCTCAATAAACCTAAACCCTAGATTCCTGGTTGTATACATGTTTTCCCCATCTGATGTCCCTTTCCAAACCAGTTACTACCTTTATCCCAGGTAAGGAAATCGCCACTTCATGCCTGCAGACGATCGCAAAAAAACACCTATAAAACTAGGTGTTTAATCCGCTCTCACCCTTGAGACCATGGTGATGTATTGGATTTAGGGTGTTTTCTTTAAATGCGGGATCCCCCAAAACATTGTTTCGAATAGGTTTCAATGCTCAACTGATCTCATGATTCTAAGGACTTGGATGTTTTTTCGGATACCCTCCTGTAATTTAACATAGCTATTGAAAATCTCCATTTTTAATGGTTAAATCCACTATCAATGGCCATTTTCAATAGTTTTTTGTTAGTTTACCGGAGGGTACCCCCATGGATTGGAAAGTTCCATTTGTTGAATCTCTGTCTCCCAGCCATGGCCTCCAGAAAAATTGCCCACATGACATATCTCCCACAAGTCGCAACCATTCAAAAACGCGACACAAGAATCAATGATTCTCCAGACATTATCCTTAAAAATATCCAAACATGTTTTTTGCACCTCTTCCATATTTACCATTTCATGACAATCAAACACCCCCCATTTAATTCGATTTTGTTCATTTCGTCCGTGGATTTCGTTGCTACGTCGTAGGTAGGATCCCTCCAAAAATTGCGCTGTCGTCATCATATTTGCGAAGTATTTTCTAACCAGTGCCCAAGGTTTGTTAAGAAATGTGACTTTAAAATTCCATTTTTTTCGGGGTTGGTTCAGTATCCCAGGGTTTCCACGGAGTGGGGACCCTACAGCTGTGAACTGTTTAATTCATAGCTGTTCAAACCGCATCAACAAAGCATTTGATGCTAATTCTCCTACCTGATCCCAAGATTTTCTGACACCTCTCCCATATTTTGGCATATTTCCTCGAGATTTCCCCGTTGCCAAACCATGGTTCCCATTATGAACTCCCGGAAAAAACAGGACATGGGCCGCACTTTGGGTATCTTTGTGGTGGTGACCAACTGCTCCGTACCTTGGGTGAAAAAAAACTATCCCCAAGAGAAATGGCAATGTCCAATGGTTTTTCACCGAAAAAAGGTGCATTTATAGTATAGATACGAAATTATACTGGTTGGTGGTTTGGAACATTCTTTTCCATATATTGGGAATGTCATCATACCAACTGACGAAGTCATATTGTTCAGAGGGGTAGGTCAACCACCAACCAGTATTATTGACATTATAACAACTATTATTATATAATCCCATTATTGATGATTATCCCATTATAATCCCATGATATAACCCCATTATTTTTCAGAGGGGTAGGTCAACCACCAACCAGTTATAAGTGTGATTATAATGCTGAGATAAGACCGGCGAATTGATCTTCAAATTCATGGCAAATTCAACTGAGAAATTGATGATCAACCCACCCAAAAAAACATACTATACTGGCAAATGATGTAAAAATGGCAAATGATATTATGGTGGTATGGCTAGATATGGTGGTGTGGCAAATGATATTTCACTATCTTATATTGATTTATCTGGGACTTTTTGTGGAGGGTTTGTATTGGACCATGGTTTTTAACGTATAAATTGGGTATGATTGGACCTACCTCCCCAAATTAGGATGCCACGTCACCTTGAGATAACCACTGGATCTGTGTGACATGATTTTGTTCAGGGCCCGGTGCTTTGGAATTCCAGGTTTTTACCCAATTTCAGTGGAGGATTATGATGAATTTGGGTAAAACAATAATCAACCATCCTCCAAATCACGATAAATAGGTGGTATGTTTACCATTCCCAAATGGGTGGTTTATGACATTGTTTCACTATGTTTTACTCACATTCTGAAGTATAGAGTGGACTCCAGTACGCTGGCCCCAAATCACCACTCAACTGATTGATGTAATGCTTATAACATGGGAACATGTTTATCACTAAACAGCTGACAAAGATGTGCCACTCTATTCCAAGGTATTTGACATTAGCCAAAAAGAACAACTACCCCTGTGGTAAACTAACATAGCGGTGGATAACTTTCTTTTTAATCAGGTAAATCAGGTATAAATTGCAATTTTCCATTGCTATGCTAGTTTACCAGATGGGTACTATCAAAAATCATGGGTGGAAGTCTCCAAATAGTCTGTACAAAAATCGCGCGGAAAAACTTGCAGCAGAAATGCAGGCGCGTTTCCTATTTCTTGCCCTTTGGGCAACTTGGTGTAGGCTCAACACATTTCAAAATGGTTTTAAGATGCTAAGACCTGGGCTGGCTGAAGACAATGATTTACCCTCTGGTAATTTAACATAGCTATTGAAAATGGCCATTTATAGTGGATTTTCCCATTGAAAATTGTGATTTTCCATAGTTATGTTAGTTTATCAGAGGGTATCTCCCTAATTGGAAATCCATTAGAAAAGGTCAATCTATAGAGGAATTATATAGTTTTTTTTTTGGGTTCCTTAACGGGGATTCCTTCAGCAAATGCAAGTAAAGATGAGGTGTTCAGGCCTTGAATCTTCACCCTTTTTCATAGCTTCACGCGTGATCATCGCCCAGTGGTAGTCGACGTGAAAATATAGAGGGAAACTATTCAGAACACAGGAATGATCACCAACATCCAAGTTTTTAGAAGTGGTGTTCCAAAAGGGGAAAAATACATCCAAGATTTCATGGCAACAACCATGGTTTCAGGTCGGTGACTGCCCTGAAACATCAACCCATGATGATCACTTTTCAATCCAGCCAAACCCCATAGGGACAGCAAGCTTCCAATGGCCTCATGTTGCAGTTTTGTGTTTGTCCGGTATCCCACAGAACCGAGGATCAACATCGGTTCAAAGACATGGCGAAAATTTTCAAAGGCTTGTGTGGCTTGGCTGATCGGAAAATCCTCGACTTTTCGACGGAATTCATAGGGATTGCTGCAATCCCTTCCCCCGTTCATTTTAAAAAAACAAAATCACATAGTTTATAGCATAGGGGATGATCACATATTTGGGACCACTTAGGGGGTGTTTATTAATATGAAGGGGGAATGGGGATAATATAGTAGTAAGGGGAGTTCGAAGTAGACTAATTAGTCAAGCAAACTTGTGGTATCCCTCAGACTTGAGTTGTTACAGATTCTTTTTGAATGTTATTTTACGGTTGACAACACTTAGCTATTAGAAAAAAACGGGCCTCTCAGACTCTCGCCCCTCAAAATTGCTGATACATGATAATACTGGGTAGGGATGAATTCTTCAAATGTGGTCCTGGTGTTTTGCAGGAAAGCCTAAGGTTCCACATCTTTCGAGCCATCAAGGTAGAAAAGCTCCCAGCCATGCTCAACCATAGCGGAAACTCCACGTGTCTTGTCGCCAGCCATCTCCAAGACTGGTGGAATAGCATGGAATATACCACCATGTTGGCCATGTTTGCAGCGGATACATTTATGTCATAAAAATGCGCACAGAATAGCATACTTTTTGTGCATATAAATTTCATATAAATATGTACATACATATATGTGTATATATACATATATATATACACATACAGACATGATCAATAAGAACACATAAATCCCATAAAACCATGTTTTTTAACAATTTCAGGCACCAGCCATGCTCCATGCTGCGCCCTTCGCGGCGCATGTTTTCGCGCAGCGTCTGGTTCCTGGCAGCACTGCCAGCGGTGCCTGCGGAGTTTTCGATCGGATCATGGAATATTTTGAGCCCAAGACGCCCGGATCGATGGTGATTTTTCCCTGATGTCAACCCCGGATGAGACTAAAGCCTGGTTTATCTATTGGAAGGGGGTAGCCTTCCAATAGTCATAATATGGCATAATTAATGATACTTTTTTATGGTAGCCTCCCAATTCAACAATCGTTTGGGGTTTATTAATCCAGGGTTGACATTATAAATGGAGGTTTTAGAGTTGGAATGGAGGTTTTATAGTCGGATAAATGATGAAAAAAATATCTGATGGTCTGATGGTGAATTTCATACCCTACTTCGTGCTTTCCACTTCATAAATGGGTGAAACAAAAACAGTTATATAATGTTATATATGGAATATCCCCACGAATGTATGGGATTATATGAGTTATAAACCATGGCACTTGCTAAGTGGGATGCACATCCAAGTATAAATCCCTTATAACTTGATGTGTTTGGCTGGGAAAATTATCTATAGATTGTGGATTTTCCAGTGCTAACTGCTAACCTACCTGGATTTGCTCATCTGGATAAATTATATATATCCAAGCGTAATTTTTTTTTAATAATAATGGGAATGGTGGGTTATTATAATGGGATATAACCTTTTATGGAATATAAAGGGAATAACCAACTATAATGATACCTTGATAACTTTGCTGAAGATGATTGAGTGAGTTTCCCAACAAATCTATAGGGAATGTGTTCTATATAGTTTTAGTTGTTTGGTTCTGAAGCAAATCCAAGTTATTGTTCACGACTATTTGGTGGTGAATGGAGGAGGCGGTTTGGAGCTAGAGCTATGAATAAGTGGGAGCCCTTGGGAGCTACGCACTGAGTTTTCATGAGTTTTCCAACTATATGATAGATGAGTGTTCCCGGTTTTTTGGTGACTTTCAGTTGCTCATGTTTCAAGTGTTAAAACATTGGACGAGTTTGCCACCCAGATTTTTTGATTTTTGGCCATAGAAAAAGTATTGTGAGATGATTATTTATACAGTATTCATATTTTAAGGATGGGATTTGGAGTGCGTCCTTCATTTTTCCAATTTCCCTTGCAAAAAAAATGGTTAGGAACTGGGGTATTGTATCGTTATCACCCTGCCTGTTTGCAGGGTCATAACCCAGATTTTCAAGGATTTTACCCAAAGATGATTCTTGTTCACTTTTCTGGGACGATCAATGTTGATCCACTAGTAGAGGCAGCAAGCTACAGGTGACTGTGGAGATTTTTGATATCTAACTTGTTCTTATCCCAGCTGCCTGTATAAACTAAGAGTATCCCCAAGAAGGGATCCCAAGAAGGAATAGGTCCAAATATAATCAAATATATCCAAATACTCAATCAGGGTCTGCAAATTCCATGTCATATTGGTGGGAAGCTCAGACCGCACCCAAGGATTTGAGAACAACAATTACCACCCCTATGTCTCTGCAGAACATCGCTCCTGGAGTTACCGAAAACCGCTACTGCTGAAGAGGATTTTCGACATGGATGTGGATGTCTTGTGCTGTCAGGAGGCTGCAAATGAAGAGATGTCCTTGACATCTGAGCTGGAAGAGGTCTGGATTCCAATGGAGATGTGTTGAATCAAGTTGAATCACATGTTCTTTTGGGTCAACCATGAAAGACATCAGGATCTTTACGGTTTGAACATGTTTGAACTTTGAATTGGTTATGAACCCCCCATTTCAAGTTTTGGTACTTTTTTCATCCCATCTGTTTTCGCCAGGCGGGTTACAGAGCCCTGGTGCCGCCCAAAGATGATGGCGGAATCGAAAAACCCGTGACTTTCGTGAGGCGAAGCAAGTTTCAGGCACGGCAAATTCCGAGAAATTTTGGATTCACCTTGTTGCAGGTTGACCTCACTGATGGCCGGAAAATCCCCTCGATGAATTTCTAGTCATTGATGAGGTGCCCAGCTCCGGACCTCCAAGTTCCGGGGTTTTCGAGCTACGTTTGATGACACCCAGAGTCACCAGAGGATAATTTGAATTTTCGGTGTCAGAAAGGTCTAACATCAGAGGCGGTGAGCCCTTGAAAGATAGTTCTGTGGGTCAGGACGGTGAGAGAGAGAGAGAGAGAGATGGGTCAATTTGTTCCAGGCACTCAGGGATTGATGAAGGATATCAACTAACCTCCCAGTGGTCAATGGGAATTTGCGGATCCTAATTTGAAGGTACCCACCATATATAAATTATATAAGGCCTATGTAAGGGAGTATCCCAACAAAATGTGGTCTCATATGGTACTAACGTACCTCCATTTTAGGATCCTGAAGATCTCCCATTGAAGTGGGATGGTTTTCATGGGGTATTTCCCCCATGGCTCGGGTGGATCAGATATAGATATGCACATGTCACATGTCACATGTCACATGGCAGCGGAAACACGCAGTTGTTTACGGGTCGTTGTTGTGATATTTACCCAACCTGGTTATGACATGTTATGACTAACAGTTCGCCATGGAAAATCGATGGCCCATAGAAATAGATGATTTTCCTAGCTAGATACCTCCATTTATGGTTGGGATTTTCCATGGCTATGTTAAATAACCAGATGGTAGATACGTTGGTATAATTTAGATCGTTTTGAAACAGATGATTTACCATAGGGTACGTGGATATTTCGGAACTTTGTGATCGGTGGGTCCTCACACCAAGTAGGTTACACATGGTCATTTCCTCAATTGGCAAGCTGGCTGCTATTAATCAAACCAACCGGAATGAGCGGAATCAGAGGAAAAGGAGATAGCATCATAGATAGAATGTATTTACCTATGGTGATTTTCCATAGCTATGATTAAATAATGAACGGATACAGCTTCAAGAAGCTCCGGATCCCATTGTCATGCATGATCACTTGACCATTCCAACAGTCGGGCATTTGCACTAGGAAATATGGAAACACTCTTATGTAACTATATAGCCATATGCAAATGGAATATTTATATTATATACAATATATATATATATAGATTTCCCATTTGGGAATTTAATACGTACGACAAATATTATCCTTCTCCCCCTCCCCAAATTCAAGAAGAATGTTTAGCATTGGAATATACACCTTCCCCCCCAAAAAAATAGCATTTCTATCTATCTATCCTATCTTTTTTTTATCTTATCTAATCTGATCTTATTTTATCTTATCTAATCCTATCTAATCCTATCTAATCCTATCTAATCCTTTCTAATCCTATCTAATCCTATCTAATCCTATGTAGTCCTATGTAGTCCTATCTAGTCCTATCTAGTCCTATCTAGTCCTATCTAGTCCTATCTAGTCCTATCTATTCCTATCTATTCCCTATCTATTCCTGTCTATTCTATCTATCTATCTATCTGTCTATCTATCTGTCTATCTATCTATCTATCTATCTATCTATCTAGAAAGAGGGAACATTTATGATATTTTTGTGCTCAACCAACCAGCAAAAAAAACGGCCGACATTTATCACTTCAAATCTCACCCCAAAAAACCCAAAAACGGCGCAGGTTGTGGCATCCGATTATCGTTCCCGCGCTGGGCTACACGCCCTGAGACTGACAGAGTCTGAGAAGTCCAAGGCTTCCAAGATGCTGTTAATTGCGAATGTACATCTTCAAGGGCAGCTGGGTAAACAAGACCCATATGCGAAGCATGGTGCTGGTATATGTACCTACAAAACTGGGAAATTTATGGGGTAGATGTTGGCAAATATTCCAGCACCATGGAGCATATGGGAGAACCACGTTACGTTCTTTTTGGATACTTTCTGACATTCCAATCAAGTCTGGTATTTTGGGGGTGGATGTCCAATCAATCCAAAAACACTAGAGATAATAAGATCATAATAAGATCATAAATCATATAGCTGATGCTCTTGATGTTGCTGTAGGGGAACAGTAGGTGTTTGCCAATGCAGATGGCCCCGATATATGGTAACTTCATTGCGATTATGATGATTTTCCTATTCTTTTATGTTCGTTTTTGACAAGGCAAATGAGGCCCAACTGGCCAAAAAATATTCCAACTCCCTTTTTTCTCCCATGTGCAACTGGCTTCTCGGCAAAGTTCTTTGCCGGAGGTATCCTCCTTCTTTGGTTGATTCCTCATTTTCGATGGATTATAATACATATTGCACATTACACTTCACATTTATTCAATATTTATTGAAGTTTTCACCTAACCCCAATTACGTTTGGTTTTCATCCCCCTTTCCCATGGTTCATGTTAAGCCACGTCGTTGCCATTTCCACTGCCATCCCCAGGAACCCCTTGGCCGTTGCCACCCGTCGTCAGCAGCTCCGTTCCGCCCTGCGCCGCTTGCGGCGTCTCGGTCTCGGCGCCACGGAGGCTGCAACGGCCACGGTGCTGGCGGGGGATTTCAACGAGCTCGCGGGCAGCGCGTTGCACGGGGAGCTCCAAAGTGGACGGCTGGAAGATCAACCTGAAAGCTGGAAGTTTCTGGATGCTTGCGAAAATGCCTCACCATAACCCAGAGGATCCATGTATGCTATATATATGATAACATTTACCATCAATATACCATAATATACCCCAAATGTTAGCATATATACCAGCACCATGGATCCTATGGGTAATACCATTTTTTTGCATTGTCTTTAGAAGATGGGTAGGAAGATGTATAGGACGCCATTTAAATCTGGTGTATTCTGGTGTAAATTTTGTAAAGTTCTCAGGATGCCCATAGCAGCAACGCTTTCTGCACCTTCCGCGGTGCTGGCCGCTGCGATCGGATTGATTTCATCTACCACACTGGGTCCGTGGCGGCTCGGGTGCGAAAACCGCTGGCAACAGAGGAGGAGGAAAGGCTGAGAGGCTTGGTTTGGTATAAAAACCTTGGGAAAATGGGAAAATATGGGGAAATCCTAGAAATTCTATATGAGGGTTCTGAGTTTTGGGGATGCTACAATGTGGGGCCCCCAAGATAGCTAAGTTGGTGCAAATAACTCCAATAACTATGGTTTATGGTACTTATAACTATAGTTAATGGGGTTTATAAACCAACTTATAACTGGGGGGGCCCACATTGTATCCACTTTTAGTTTGTCATTTTGAGGTAATTTTGGAGTTTGCCAGCCCGTTTTTACCCTTGGGACTAATGAATTCATGAAGGTTGGTTTTTAACATACCCACTTTAAGCTGGTTGGTGGTGACTGGAACCATGGAATTTTATGTTTCCATTCAGTTGGGAGTTTCATCATCCCAACTGACTTTCACTCCATTATTTTTCAGAGGGGTAGGTCAACCACCAACCAGATAGCTATTGTGATTTAGATGAGCTCAGATCCCATTCTCCAACACAGGTTAATCGGTTAATCCCTCAGAACATCAGGGATCTGAGAACATACCCAGCTGTAGCCTCCCTACACGGGATTTCCCAACTAGCCATGTTTGACACCGGAAGGTAAGCCCCATTTTCCCATTAAGAGCCATTATTAATGATCATCCCCAAGATATTGGGTAGTATGAGACCCTTATTAAATCTTATTGACCCCTTAGTCCAGTAATAATCATTAATCATCAGTACTAAGATGTATTAAACACAATTAACAACTATAATTAACCGTTGCTAAGTACTACGAACTTTTAATTACTAACCATTATGAACCACTATCAATGAAGCGCCATAGTTGGAGATCTCGTTGCAACATCCAAGGATGGTCCTGGAGATGGCCTCCATGGCCGGAGTTGGTACCTGGAAAATGGTATCCTTCGGATCATTTGCCGCTCACGGCGATGTTTTCATTTCTGGCATAGAGAAAAAACATGAAAAACGTCACTCTGAGATGAGGACAACATGAACTATGTGCTTGTTCTATGTGATTTTTCAAGATTTTTTTTGATCAACACATGGAGCGTGTTGGAGTGGAAAACACCAAAAAAAAGGGGATGGTCATCAATCAATTTTCAAAAGAAATTGTATGGTGTTGTATGCTGTAGCTCATTTGAAGGATTACCATGGATTACCATTATGGGATGGATGTGTGAGATGATAAGCTTGTGATTTTCAAGATTCCAGATTCCTTCCCCCTAAGGAAAACCATGACGACCCTGCCATTTCTTGGGGTTGGAAGTTGAGTTTCCACGAAAAACGTGTTAGTTTCAGGGTCTATGTTAAACAACCAGAGGGCACCGGAAACGATCAGATTCAATGTATACATTGCATCATGTCAAAATCCGGGGTTGAGACGATAGGGTAGCACTGTGAATATACCCCAGCTGGAGTGTTTGTGGATGTCATGAAAAATCGAGCGTCCACCGCTGCGGAAAAGAGCCAGAAAACTTCGGCGGGGCCGGGATTCCTGTAGGTTGATCTCTAGCGGTTGGTGGTTGGTGATATCAGGCAACATTTGGCAGGGAAAACAATTAACCCGGATGTATGAGTTGATTTGCCGAAACCTTCATTTTGTTGGATCATATTTCAGTATATTTCAGTTGTTTGTTCTTACATTTCCTTCTTGCTGTCCGCCAACTTTTAGTGAAATGGCCAATAGTCGTGTAGAAACTATAGCTACGGATTTGCAACCCGGGCTTCGAGCTTAGAACACATTACAAAACCATATTCCCAGCAGATACCGATACCGATGGTTTCCCAAGTGTATCCCACTACACTACCAGTACTGACAGCTGAATCATGTTAAATCCTGATTTTGTTCTATGCGTTATCCAAGCTGATCACCCAAGTTACCCCACACCAGCCTACACCAACATGGGTAAATGTCTATCTTGAGGATTTTGAACGAATCACTGTCAGGTATGATGAGGTGAAGAAGTCACTAAGTAGGAGGTTTACCAAACCCTGAACATCAACATGAATCATTTAGTTCGGTGGATTTTCCCAGCTACAACAGCTACAACAGCTACAACCCTCGATGTTAGTTTGATGATTTCCCATGTTCGATGACACCTGATGATACCCTTTCAGATCAATATGCCATTAATTTCCTCAAAAATCGAATAATGGAACATATCCATGTTCACTCATTATTAATGATATCAAATAGTATTCAAAAATATTATTAATGGCCAGTATTCTATTAACCCAAATAATATCATTCCGTATCCCAATAGAAATATCCTTCCGTTCACTCATGTTCTGGCCGAACATCAATATCATCTCATATCATATCCCAATATAATATATTATGATATACATATAATATAATATAATATAGTTTAATATAATATAATATAACATAATATAATATAATATAATATAATATAGTAAAATATGCATATATATACATATACATATACATATACATATACATATACATATATACATATATCATCATATTCTGGCCTTTTACATTAAGGTATGAGCGGCTTATGGGGTTGCTTTGATGAGTTCAACCGCATCGAGTTGGAGGTTTTGAGCGTCGTGGCAACTCAAGTGGAGTCCATTATGCAGGCACTTAAAATGGTCTCTGGGGATCCCAGGGAGTTTGAGCAGGGATCAGCTGAAATCAGAGGTTTTAAAGATGGGTATGGATCAATACCTATTAATACCATTTTTAGGGGGATGAACATCCATTTACCAGCTATTTTGATGTTCACCAGGGGGATAGGGTTTTGACCCATCCCCAGATCAACATGGGAAAAGCTGAAAAAAAACATAAGCCACTGATTAAGACCTAGATTGAGTCAAAAAAGAGCTTGTGATCTTTGATTTTGGTTGAAAAATGCGACTTGTAGATTCCATTTATATAGTCACTTTTGTTTGTTTACCCGCCTGTTTGGTGATTCTGTTGGGCTGAGTTCAAACAACCGGGGTGACCGGAATCCATCATGGTCCATACCCAACCCATAGGACCAACCCATGTGGTGAAAAAAATGATGTTCTTCCGTTTGCCGCCCTTATTGTGGGCCTAGGGTCGGGCTCAGGTTAACTGGTTGGTAAAATATGCTTCCAACTGGCCCTGTTGGCCGAGTTGGCCAATGGTCCACTTTTGTGGCGAAAAATCATGGACACTCTGCAGAGTTAAGCCCAAAGATTTCATGGGGTTCCCACGCTTCAATTTTTTTCAGATCGTAATCAGGGCGCAAAAATCGCGCCCAAAATCGTGGTCAATGCCAAGAAAACCATCGCTGTTCAGAGGGACCAGAGAAGCATTGTTTTTTTTCCAGTCAACTTCCTGGAGTTGATGTCAAAAAAAGATGACTGGTTGGTGGTTTGTCAACCCATTTGGGAATGGAACAAATACCAACCATAACAATTGTTATGACTGGGGGATGGTTTATGATTGTTTTACCCACAGTATCCAGATTTATAGCTGGTTGGTGGTTTGGAACATTTTTTCCATATATTGGGAATGTCATCATCCCAACTGACGAAGTCCATCATTTTTCAGAGGGGTAGGTCAACCACCAACCAGATGATGTCGAATTGGTGTCTTCCATGTTTTCTTTTCGGCACCAACCCTCTCAGCAATTTGGAGGCCAAGAAGCAAAACGCCAAGAGCTTCCTGTTTCCGGGGGAACCTTATGCCATCAAACTGGTAGCGTCACATGCTCAGCTCGATGTTCTGAATTGATTCATGGGGCTTTAAGTTGGGAGATACTGTAACCAGCTATCAGTTACTATCAGATCATGAGAACATTGATATAATATATATATAATGATATACTATAGTAACTATAGTGTAGAATGGTAATGATATAATTGCATACAATGGGATACAACATAACATTAACATTGCTATAATTTCTAATGAGTTTACGCCTGCATATCATGTTTTAATCGAATGGTTTCTTGGTTTTTTCAGGTTTTTGAATGGCTTGGTCTTGAAATTTCATCGCCAGAGGGGCTGGCAGACCTGGGAAACATTGACAAAGTTTCACACAGTCCCGGGGGTGATGGAACTAACGAAAGTTTGAAATGGTCATAGTTTCCAATGGGACATCATGTTTTGGTTCCATGTGTTGATATGTTTTGTTTGTTCCATATCAAATGAGAGGTACACTACATTTGACATGTACCAGGCCTGGGCTATGAACCAACCCCATCCCAAACCGTTTCTGGAAAAAACACATGAAAAGTGAAGTTACTCTTCTTGGATTGACGGATCGCGGAAAGCCGCTTTTCATCATGTTCATCCTGATCTTGGCATCAGCCATGACATGAATGTCCTTTTCCCACTGGTTGGTTGATGAATCGAGGGGTTAGAATCGGGTAGAAGAAACCCCTTTAACAACAGGTTTGTTAGATGATATATGGTCTACCAAACTGGTATACCAAAACAATACTACCATATTTTTAAAACTGGTAGAAATATATGGTATACCAGCTCCCGGCCCGTGGTTGTTTCAAAATTTTCACTGCGCAGAGGTCTGTGGGATACTTCATCACCATGAATCCGGGATATGCCTGGGTCCCAGAGGGGCCACCGTTACGACGTGGGAGAAACGGCAATGGGCGCATGTTTAAAGCATGTCATCTTTGGCGTACTTATTCATGTTATTTATCCATATTTATCCAATGAGTTGCTGTCATTGAGTCATTCATTTCCGGGAAAAAACATGTTTGAATGCTTTAACTCAGTGCAGTTGCTGATCATGTTTTCACATCAATCATCATGTTTAAATGGTGTGTTTATCTTTCAGAATGGTGATGTTTGAACCCAAGGAGAAAAACGACACATAACAAACAACTAGATAACTAGATCCTGAGATCAGCCTTAGCAGAGCTGCCTGACAGTTTCTTGAACATTGCGTCACCCTGAGCCAACCAGCAGTGGCAGAAAGAAACACGATAGGAAATTGGGTTGATTTTATGCATCAATTCTGTTTCATCTTTCAAACAATGAGACAAGTTGGAAGCAACAGTTTTGACCCAGATCACGCCTAAACGAGAAAAGGACCTTTCACTTATAGCAACCCCAAAAAAGATGGAATGCTAAAATCCTACTAACAACGCTGATAGTTTATATACTTTTCCATCTTTTTGGACGTTGCTACACACATTTCTTCAGGCTTTTCCCATTGAAAACTGCCACAGATTGGCCCCTCTGCTGAGTTTTCACACAGGCGGGACGTCAAGAGCTTCCTGAAAATCTCAAGGTCCTCTTCCGAAGCGCAGCTCGGCTGATCTGTTGGGGGACCGGCCGGGGGACCACTTTTTTCCCTGACAGATTTGCTTTTGACCACGAACATGGGTGGCCCATTCATGGGCGTCTTGTACTTATATATAACCTCTGGTTGGTGGTTTGGAACATGAATTTTATGCTTCCATATATCAGGAATAGTAATCCCAACTGACTTTCACTCCATCATTTTTTCAGAGGGGTAGGTCAACCACCAACCAGACCTGTTGACAATGATGAAAGGTCAGGAAATGGTCCCGACTCTTGCTTTCCCGGGTCGAATTTGATGAGAAGCCCCTGGCAAAGCTAAGTGGATGAAAAATTCATCCATATCAATCCCATTTGCCCAAGAATTCATGAATTCTCATTTGAGAAACTGCAGAAATGGCCCAGATCCACTACATTTCTGGGCTGTATCCAGCCTGGGATGCTCAGGTTTCAATGATGGTGCCGTGGGAGCCTTACTGATATTTCTGCTACATGTTCTTCCCTTCTCTTCTGGTCCAAAAGTCATCTCAAAAAAATCGTACCAAATGGAGTTCACAAGTTTGGATGCTGATTACCTTCCGGTAATCAAACATGGCAATGGAAAATCACCCAATTGCCACGTTCGATTACCGGAGGATATGCTGCTAATTCTACTGGTGGCTCAACGACATGGTGTCTACAGCACGGTGGTGATTTTCACTTCCGGCATCTTCCGGCCCAAAGCAGGGTGGAAAAGATTGCAACAAGCTTATCATGCTGCAACATAGTATTCATCAATATTCATCATATACAAAGTTATACATATAGCATCATATAGCCAACTTAGATGGGGATCCGGATACCTATACACTTATATGGTTGGTGGTTTCAAGCATGACTTTTATGTTCCGTAATAAAAAAGGTATAATCCTTCCCAACTGACTTTCACTCCATCATTTTTCAGAGGGGTAGGTCAACCACCAACCAGTCATAATTAACCATCATTAACCACTATTAACCAATATTAATCATATGGATAGGTCAACCACCAAGCAGTTATGGTATAGTTGTGCTATAGTTATGCATCTGAAGTACGTTCAACACGTGATTTTCCCGTGTGGCTCCAGCCGATCAGCGCCATGGGGGGCTCATATGATGGTTATCCTCAAGGGTTGGCTGACAGAATCTGCCAAAACTGTGGAAAAAGCAACGCGCCTGCGCGTTGCAGTAGATGTTATAGCTACTGGGTGAAGGTGTTTTTGTTTTTTCAGTGGTTTTGTATCATGTTTTTTCATATTTAGTTTTTTTCAGATGTTGTTTTCGATGTTTTCTTATCGATCATCCTTTGTATTAGAAATGTCCCAATTTGGATGGTCGATGGTCAAATCTTGAATGATACATGGTTCTTTATGGTTCCTCAGTTTTTCTATGTTGTCTGGTTGGTGGCGGTTTCAAACATGACTATGTTCCATGACACACTGGAATGGTCGTCATCCCAACTGACGAAGTCATATTTCAAGATTTTTTTTACACCACCAACCAGTTGTTGTTGATGCCGAAAATGTCGATGCAAACCCATCACCATCACCAGGCTGGTTTTGTGGACCTGAATGTCAACGAAGCGCCTGGCCGACGCATAAACTCAGCTGCGGCAAGGATTCTAAGGCTTCCAAGGACCTCGAATCTGCGAAGCTTGAGCCGACTTCATCGGAAAAGACGCTTGACTCCAAACTCCGATGTGGTTTTCATACCTAAAGATTGACTTCACTTAGGATTTTTATGGTATGGCTGCGATATAGAATATAAAATAGCCTGGCTCAATGATTCTGAAACTTGACTTTCATGGTTGTTGTTGGGGCCTCAAAACCTGAACGACCACAACTTCAGGGAAAACCAGCAAAGCCCAATCAATTTGGGGTAAACAGCGTTGCTTTGCGGTGATTTCGGTTCCTCAACCCCATAGGATTGCTCCAACCTATTCTAGGTTTAAAAAAAATATATGAGTCCCCATACATATCCACAAGGGGTCGGAAAAAAAACCACAGAACATGATCTTTTTCTCTATGGGCAGTTTCCGGTGCTATCCTTTAACAGACAGCAACCCGTTTCACCATTCCACTGGGTGAATTCCAGGTACGTTTGGGGCTCCGAGTCGGACCATCTGCTGTGGAGCTCCACGGTGGCTGATGCTGACCTCAGGAAGGTCGGCGAGTTGTCTGCATCCAAGGCTTGGGGGTTCGGTGGATGTTTTTAGGGGGAAAAACCATGGGCTTTTACTGTTTTTTTTTTGTAGTAAACCCAAGAATATATATATATATATGTGACTATAACTTCTAAACCCCCATGATGTTGTAAACTTAAGTCTAATAAATATAATTTTCAAAAGTTATAAAACCAGATATATAAAACCCTTATAATGTTGGGGTATCCCCCCAAAAAAAAACTGGGGTGAAACATCTGGAACTGCACCTTCAAGATACTGTCCACTGGATCCATGCTGGGGAGAACATATGGAAGATGTTTAGGATATAGACTTCAAAATGTGGGGCCCCCTAGATAGCTAAGTTGGTTTATAACTCCAATAACTATGGTTTATTATACTTGTAACTAAGTTAATAGATGTTAATAGGGTTTATAAACCCACTTATACCCTCTGGTAAACATACAAAAAACTATGGAAAATCACCATCTTTAATAGGTAAATCAACGAACTAAACGGGCCATGTTCAATAGCTATTTTGACATAACCAGAGGGTATAGTTGACTTTCCTAGGTTTTGGGCTAAATTTGGTCCAATCAATTCTGCAAAGTAGGCACGATTAGCCATGCGTACTGAAAATCACTGGGACCAATATCTGCTCTCTTTTGTGTAGTCACTTGAAAAATCAAACGACAACAAGGTTAAACAACAAAACCCTAGCCCTAGAAATCACAAGGGTAACTTTATAATATACTATCAATTCACTGTTTGTAACATGCAAAAAATTAGATCAGGAGAGTTTAGACTCTTTTAAAAATAAATCCACTGATGGGACATTTACAGGTTTTTAACATGCTATAAATTCACTATTAAAAAATTGGACATATAGATCTGGGAAAATTATAACGACCTCACTGCGACCTCACTGGAGTCATGGTTAGTAAGGGGAAATCATTTCCAAATGGCCTTATTTCAGGTTAGTGAAATATTATAATATACCCAGATAGATCCTTGTTTTCCCAAAAAATCCGCCCAGTTCAGGATTTCCTCGATGCACTTGGCACTGCCCTGATGGCAGCAGATGGAGATGATGTGGCTGAGATGCTATGGAGCAAGCTTGGTTGGGAACCCCACGTGCGGGAGAAACATGACTACAGTCCCTGGGATGAAGTTGAGTTTTTGAATGTTTAACCATGTTTAACCCCCTTAAAAATTGGGATGAAGGTGTGGTTGGTGTGGTTGGTGTGTGTGTGTGTTTGTTTTTTAATGTGTGTTTAACCATGTTTAACCCCGCAAAAAATGGTGGTGTATAGCTGGTAAATCCACCCTGGAATGGGGAAAAGCGGGGATGATTCATTAGCAACTCATAGCTGGGATGAGTTTTTTTTGCTGGCCAGAATGAATAAAAAGTTGGTGAACTACGGTGAATCATGAGATACAGTCACAAATGATGGTTTATAGCTGGGAAAATCGTCGCACTAGTAGATTTTCCATTGCTAAACAGGGTTTGCTGAGTCGATTTGTGACACACTTTCCGAAATGACGAATCTATAGGGATCTGAATCGCATAAATATTGATTTAATTTATGTTGGGCCATCTAATTCCTTCCGGATGATCAACTCAACGACTTCCAGCGTTTCCCATAGGATCCATGGTGCTGGTATATATGCTAACATTTGGGGTATATTATGGTATATTGATGGGATCCATGTTACCATATATAGCAGCACCATGGATCCTCTGGGTTTTGGGAATGTAAAAACCTGGGATGACTGAGTCCTGTCCCAGGTTTGCTGCATGTGCTGCCTATGCCGACACCTTCGACACCTTCACTTCCATCGAGGCCTCGTGGGCCTCGGGCGCCTTGGGGCTTGGGAAATTTGACCACCAGCAGCAGTCAACGGCACGAGCCGTTGCTTGCTGGTGGCAGCTGCTTGGCGGATTTTTTCACTGCTACTGGGTACCTGAAAAGATCTAAATTTTAGATGTGGGAAAAGACACCATTTTGATTTGATCAGTTTGCGAAACCATGGCTTTTCTACATCTATATATGTTTTTTTAACCATTTTCGGTAGATGCTTCTTTTCTGTTCTTAGAAGGGGTGGGAGCAGATAGAATACGAATAGAAGAAACGGCTAAGTGGAGGCAAGGTGTTTTTTTCTTTCTAAGAGTAGCTTGTTGGTGAATCATAGGAACCTATGGGAATATGCCAAACATTGTTTGGCCTTGTGTTCGGTAGCCTCTTGCATGGCAATTTTTTAGAGCCCTGGCGGCCAACATCCAGCGATGTTTTTCCTATCTGAAAAGGGGATTTCCCGTTGACCAGTTTGAATGCCAAACAGTTTTCCCAGAAAAAGATATGCTCGACCAATATACAGCTTCTATCTGTCAGTTAAGTGCCTATATATATGTAAGAGCTCATCATATTTGCATCCCAGAAATCGGAAAAACATGCCGTTGTTGGCCAGAAAAGCACGCCGCCCCCGCCTCTAAGGCTGCCCTATGATCGATGCGAAAGGCGGCTTTTCTCCGGAAGTCCGTCGACAGGTGGCCGAATACTTCAATCCTAGAGCGCCCTTTCCGTGCGTCATCAAGACGCCTGGGTCTATGGATTAACGTTTAACTGGTTGGTGGTTTGGAACATGAATTTAGTTTTTCCATATTAGGAATGTCATCATCCCAACTGACGAAGTCATATTTTTCAGAGGGGTAGGTCAACCACCAACCAGTTGAGTTTAAGGGGAACATGACTGTAACCGGAAACCCATGATTTTCACTAAAATTTGGTGCTTTTCCCAAATCAATGGATTGCCTTTAACCAATCCATTGACTCAATGGATTTTTGTTTGCTTTCGTGGTGAAATAATTGAACATCTTCGCCGGACACCATGGTTTTGAAGCCCAACTTGATTGGTAAAGCTGGCAGGTTTTCGCTTCAAACAGTTCTAGGAGTGGGATGCAGAAAGAAATTGGAAGGCCCTTCCAAAGTATGCCGCACTATTTGGGACCCGACAAAAAAGTTCTCCAAATGTCATAGCTGCTCTGCCTTAGAAGAAGAATTGGGACATGTCCCCAGGTATCCCCAGCTGTTGGAGGAGAATATCCTATGAGTTGGGGAAGGTTTTGATGGGACATGTCATCCAGAATGCTAGCGAAAGTTGACAGAAATTTGCAAAAAGTTCTGAAAAGCACCATGCAAAATGATGAACATGATGAAATGATGCATACAGCAGCCATGGAGTTGATTTCGGTACCATTGATGTGTGTTTTTTCAACAGATGGATGATGCTCCCAGGAATTTGCCTCTTTTCCAACGAGCTGTTGAGAAGTGGAGTGTCGACTATCTCAGTGAGCACATGGGAAACCAACTGTATCTGGACGAAGATGGCCATACTGCTTCGATTTTCTTAGTTTTTTAATAGTTTTTTAACATAGCTATAGAAAATCAGCATTTTTAATAGGTAAACCATCTATAAATGGGCCATTTTCCACAGCAAACTGTTAGTTTACCAGAGGGTACTCTGATTTTCGTTGCTTTTTTGGCTGAGACTGACTTATAGCTGAGTGGTGGTTTGGAACATGAATTTTATGACTTTCCATATGTTGGGAATGTCATCATCCCAACTCACTTTCATATTTTTCAGAGGGGTAGGCCAACCACCAACCAGATAGCCTTATAGCTATAAGAATTCCATCGCCCTAATGTTAGACAAAACCAGTCTAATTTTCATGGTCCCAGTCAGTCATGATTTCATATATTTCCTACCCTACATCCATGGTTTTTGGAGGCTGTTGGCTCAATGAATGGCTCAACAACTTGCGCAAATTGCGGAATGATCTGGAGCCATTTTGGAGCCATTTGGAGCCATTGGAGCCCCACAAAAAATCGAAAAAAGCCGAGGTATCACACCTTTGCATCAACCCAAGATGCCCGGCGGTTCGCCTATTCCTTCGACTGCCGAAATGAGGGCGGCTATGAGCCCGCACGCATTGCGGAGGCCTGTAAGATGACTTTCCAGGACTTTGTGATGCTTGGAATCAATACCAAAGATGGGCCCCCCAGTTACCCTCTGGTAAACATACAAATAGCTATTGAAAATGGCCCATTTGGTTCGTTTATTTACCTATTAAAGATAGTGATTTTCCATAGCTATGTTAGTTTACCAGAGGGTATAAGTGGTTTTATAAACCCTATTAACATCTATTAACTATAGTTACACATATAATAAACCATAGCTATTGGAGTTATAAACCAACTTAGCTATCTAGGGGGCCCCACATTGTAGTCTACTAATTTGGGGGGTACCCTCTGGCATATGAAAAAATACGATTTTTAATCGGTAAATCAACTATAAATGGCTATTTTCAATAATTATGGTAAATTACCAGAGGGTACCATCTATGAAGGACAATTTTGTCACTATCTTGGGAACTTCTCATGTCATGTATTTATAAACTGTGGGTTTATTAATCCTGGGTTAACAGTAACCATGATAATTGGGGTTTATGCTAGTTATCACTATAGTTTGGTGGGGATTTGAACCAACTTATAACTCGAGGGCCAACCTTGAATGTCAAAACAACTGTGATCGCCCCAAATCCGCTAATTCCTGGGGTAAACCCAATGCCATTACCAGGTATGGTAAACATACCACCCATAAAATTGTGATTTTGGAGATGGTTTGTGATTGGTTTTACCACTTTAGTACCAAGTTTCCTTATGAAAATTGCCGTTTGAGGGCATAACTCTATTGTCAGACAGACCCTTATTATATGGAGCATTCCTCACATGAAGGACCCGAAAAACATGAAACATGTACAGACACTTATAGATTAATAAACATGCGTGTGTGTGTGTGTGGGGTCCTACCGTTTACAATCCCTGCGCACACAGGCAACATGCAGTTGGAATTCAATTTGTAAGCATTCGAATCTTATATCTTTACCTCTGGCCCAAAAAACTTCCATGGATTTCAACTGGCAGATGTGGTAGGCTTGAATCAGGATGGACAAAATATAATAGTAACTCCCAAACAGATGGAAATTCTATGGTTCCAGTATTTTCGTAGGATTGGTCTGGTCTATCTTTTGCAGTCTTGCAGATTCATCCAAGTTGAATTTCTCCAGTATCATCCTTCACCCCTCCAAACATTTTGACAATTTTTTCGGTGTTCAACTTTCCCTTGCCCCAACTTAACTTTGGTTTCAAAAATTGGGTCCTCCAATCGAGCCCAGGAAGAAACAACAAGCTCATGAAGATGGGAAAGCCTATTATTTACAAACCCCAGTGCTTCGTTATGAAGATGGTGTCATCACCAGCGCCAAGTTTGATGATGAGATGGAAGCTGACCTGCACACCATGAACCGACCTTTGGTAAATGAGTTGGCTGCGATGGGCAAATTTGGCGAACTGTCGCGAAACCAACTTTTCGTGAGCTTTCGAGATTTCCTAACTGCAGTGCACTATGATCAACAGCACAATTTATATCTTCAACTGCGAGGGTGCAAGAAGTTTTTACTCTTTGATGTTACTTGTGCTCCAGCACTTTACCCCTATCCAGTACATCATTCACTAGATCGAAAGGCTCGCGTTGATTTGGAACATCCAGATCTAACTGGATGGCCGCGTGCAAAAGCATTGGCGGGACGTGGGATTGAGGCAGTTCTAGAGCCTGGCGATGTGTTGTTCCTACCTATGAGCTGGTTTCATCACGTGCATAGTGTGGGAGAGGAGAATGTATCCTTGAACTTCTGGTTCTATGATTCAGGCTGGGCTAGCAGTAGGTTTGCTGGCTTCAACCTGGTTTCAACCTAGTTTCATCATGGTTTCAGCACGTTTCAACTGTCACTTTCCATGTTCATATTGTATGAGATGTTTTGATATCAACTGCCATGGGAAACCTGCTCCTCAATCTCATTTAATCAAATTTAATCCATTAAGAAGACGATCCCACGTGTATATATATAATTGTATATATATATAATTATACAAAAAACAATCAATAATAATAATTATATATATTCAAATTTCAAAATAGATAGATAGAACAATTGATAGAGAGAGAGAGAGATAGATAGATATAGATAGATATAGACAGATATAGGCAGATACAGATAGATATAGATAGATAAGGATAGATAAAGATAGATATAGATAGATATAAATAGATATAGACAGATATAGATAGATATAAATAGATATAGACAGATATAGATATATATATATAGATTTAGAAAGAGATAGATAGATATAGATAGATATAGACAGATTTAGATAGATAGATAGATAGATAGACAGATATAGACATATATAGGTAGATATAGGCAGTAGACAGATAAAGACATATATATATATAGATAGATATAGACAGATTTAGATAGATAGATAGACAGATATAGACATATATAGGTAGATATAGGCAGTAGACAGATAAAGACATATATATATATATAGATAGATAGATAGATATAGATATAGATAGATATAGACAGATAGATAGATAGATAGATAAATAGATAGATAAAAATAGATAGAGATAGATATAGATAGATATAGGTAGTCATAGATAGATATAGATAGATATAGATAGATAGAGATAAATATAGATAGATAGATAGATAGATAGATAGATATAGATATAGATATAGATATAGATACAGATATAGATATAGAGATAGATAGATAGATAGATAGATACATAGATAGATAGATAGATAGATAGATAGATAATTAGATAGCAAATGTCAAGAGATGGGAAGTGAAGTGTCTCAAATTTCTCAAACTCCACGCCCTTCCCCAAAAAAGGCTATCTCTTCGAGCCAAAATTGGTGGAATGGCCTCTAAATGACATCGGTTTGCTGGAACTCTGTCGCCACATCGAGTACCTGGTAGCGGAGCAATTGGGACCTGCGCTGGTCGCTCCCTTCATGCACTGGTGGCGCAGCGGTTCCCCAGCGCCAAGTGACAAACTACTGGCAGATCGCTGGCGGGTGGTGAGGAATTATCTCCTGAAACAGCTCAAAAAATTGCCCCAAAAGGCCACCGGCTGGGACAATTTGTTGCAACAGATGTTTCTATAACGTGTTTTTTTCCAACAGTTTTTGTTTCTTATTGATTTGAAATGCTTTAGATGCAGGAAATGATTGGAAGTGGAAGTAGGTAACTAGGTGATATTCACCAGCCACGTGGAGCCTCATGTTTTCAGCCGGGCGAGGCTGCGAAGTTTGTGTTTGCCATGATGGATCCTGCTAGATGGAAGGGCCTGGAAACGAGAGAAGAGGCATATTTGGCCAGCCAAGGCTTGCGGGATCAACACCAGGCGGGGGAGATTTGAGGGATGTACTGGGAATTTATGGGGCTTACCTGTGGTTAATCATGAGAAGATGGTGGGAAAACTTAAGGGTAAAACAACCAATAATCCTGGATGAATAATGGATGACGGAGATTTACCCTTTGTTGAGTTAACATTTTACCACCCTTGGGTAAACTAACAGGCATAGCTATTGGACATGGCCATTTAGTTCAATTTACCCTGTTAGTTTACCAGAGGGTATCTATATTCATTAACCCACCCAACCAAAATTGAACTTGGTAAAATCTTACTAAAATAGTGATTTACTTTTTGTAAGGCGAACCTACTGGAAAACAAAAAGGTGTTGGATTCATTGATTAAAAGGAGAAAAGAAACATTTCTGGCGAATGGGATTCAGATTTGTTTAAGTTCATTGTGTTTATTGCCATTTCTTACACTAATCCATCAAACATTGGGAATTCAATAGGAATGCAGCGAAACCAATAACAGACTGAAAACATTCAAATTTGGTGGGGTTATATCACTCATGTCTGGTGATTTCTGGTGCGTGGGGATTGTTAATTTCTGGGTTTATCACATGATATTTCTTGTATTGTGGCCCAAACACTGCATATAACCTAGCCATGATGCATGAGAATGCCTAATTCATTGGGTAGTATGCAGTATTAGCCTTTTATTAGCAATGATTCGGCAATGATTAATTGTTTAATCATTGTCAAGCCATAGGCCATAAATGTCATTCATCAATCATTATTAAAGCATTAATAGATATTAATGGCACTTATTCACCATGAAGCCATGAAAAAAACCACCAACCTCAACCACCAACCCAGGTTTCCGACCTCTTGGACGATCTGAATGAGTTGAGTTTGGGCGTCTTCCATTGTCGTATGCCGGCCTGGGCATATCGCACCTTGGGGAGGGCCATTGAAAAGATTCCCAGGCAGAAACTGAGATTTTTCCTGGAATGTGCTGAGGAGGTTCTCTGCATCTTGCGGGACCACACCAATTGGGAGGGCGTCAGCGACCTGGATGGAGCTTAGGGGTGGGTTTCTACATAACCATATGGAAATCAATGGCCGGATATGTTTATCTGGTTGGTGGTTTGGAACATGAATTTTATTGTTCCATATATTGGGAATTTCATCATCCCAACTGACGAACTCATATTTTTCAGAGGGGTTGAAACCACCAACCAGACATATATATATGTATATATATATATCTGGTCTTTCAGTTTGATTGATTGGAACCTTAGTGGTTCATCTCACATTAGCATTCCCAACCTGAATCCAACAACTTAGGCCGCAGCGTAAAGCATCTATGTGCCTTGTGGAAAAAAACAATATGATAATTATGTAAAAATATACTGTATGTATTTCTTTCCAGTACTTACTGATGATTTTCCACTTTTTTCGGGGGGCAGGGGCGTGAATTACTTCCTGAAAATGTTGATTTTTACATTGACTGGTTATAGCCCCAAGTTACACAGTGGAATACCATCCATTTTCAATCCACGATAAAAAATTATTCCATCGAGAAGCTCGGTGAAACTTTGTGACTTCTTCTACGTTCAACGCCATTTTTTGTTGTTTTTCTGCATTACACCAATATATTCCACCATATTTCGATATGCTGTGTTGGCAAAGTGATCATGTATCATATCTACAATCTACATTTCTGTATATATATATATATACATTATATATATACACATTATATATATATATATTATATTTTATCATATCGAATCATATATGTAATATAAAAGTTATATTATGGGGGATGATCTCATTGGATGATCCCATCTGAGGTGCTCCCCACCTCTTCGAGGTGGATGAGGCCCGGAAGGCGCCCGGCGCCTTCCTTCGCGCCCTGACGGAGCTCAGCGCCCTGGCGGAGCACAAGGGGACCGTCCGGGTGCGCCTCGTGGACAACGGCTTCTTCGCCAACTGGTTGCAGGTGCCCCAAAAAAAACGTTGGTTTTGGAGGACAAAAATAGTTATATACATTTACATATATGGTGTAATAATTAGTATAATATATATATAGGATTGAAATACTGATTTGTATTTTTATTTATGTGATAAGCATATATCTAGATGATATATATACATATGTATATATATAGGCTGTATTTTTATTTGAGAATAATTTATTTAGATTATACATATATATATATATATATTTATTTATATATATTATTCATGCACATAATTGTAGTAGTTTTAGTTGACATTACATATAGCTGGAGGTATGAAAATCATAGTTGTTAATGGTTAAATTTGTTTATTCATGGGGAATCAACCGGCAACATTGCTTCCAAACCTCTGTGACGGGTTAGGTACTCGCTTTGGTTCAAAAGCATCGCCTTGGAACGCGCCTGATCATGATCTTCATTCCCGTCTAAGGCCATATATCATCATCATCATCATCATCACCATCATCATCATCACCATCATCATCATCATCAGCTTCCTCACCATCATCATTAGCATCATCAGCTTCCTCACCATCATCATCATCAGCATCATCATCATGTTTCTTATTCGTCGTTTTATTCTTCTTCTTCTTCGCCATCCTCCTCATCATCATCAGCATCATCACCATCAACATCATCATCATCATCATCATCATCATCATCATCATCAGCTTCCTCACCATCATCATCAGCATCATCAGCATCATCAGCTTCCTCACCATCATCATCAGCATCATCATCATCATGTTTCTTCTTCTTTTTCTTCTTCTTCTTATTGTTTTTCTTCTTCTTCGCCATCCTCCTCCTCCTCATCATCATCAGCATCATCATCATCATCAGCATCATCATCATCATCATCATCAACATCATCATCAACATCATCATCATCATCATCATGATGCTTCTTCTTTGTCGTCATCATCATCATTATCATCATCACCATTATGTAAAGGTGCAGCGCTCTGATCCTGCTTTTTCTTAACATTCGGCAAAGGGTTTTATACCGGCAGCGTAATTGTTTGTAATGTGTGCATGTTTTTTGTGGTATTGCGATTTCGCGCGCGCTCTGCGTCCGTGCCGTGGTGAAGAGACCATTTGCACGCATGGTGATTGCAAGACAGTCAGGCCGCTTTATTGTTTAATAATTTTCATAGTGGAATACAAACTTGGCTCAGGTTTCGCGCATCCCCGCGCATTAAACCAAAACCACGTGGCGCTTTATCAATGTCCTTTCAATATAATCTGCACACCCCTATGCTGACAACACTTTTAGCAGCATGAGAGTATTAGAAACTATGAATGAGCAGTGCCTGTGTCTGCTGGACAGCAAGAAAGATGATAAGGTTGCTGTGCCTGTGTGTGCACAGGAACATGAACGTTATTACCCCACCCCACCCTACCCCACCCCACTGGAACATGAATGAGAGATGATCAGGGCAGGCGTGGCACTTTTTGACATCGACCTTCATGTTGTGTGGCAGGCATGGCGCTTTTTGACATCGACCTTCATGTTGCGTGGCAGGCGTGGCACTTTTGGACATCGACCTTCATTTCGCCTGGAGGCGTGGCACTTGGTAACATCGTTCTAACGATCAACTGATTAACGACTATATTTCTCATAGGAAGTCTTTTTTTGGTCCTGTTCTCGCTTTGGAACGCGCCAGGCTTCCAAAGTATTGCGCCGGTCAGTAAATCTCATGTCTGTGTGGTTGGCATTGTTTTGATGATATGTGTCATTTTGTGTTCCAAAGTGGGTCGAAAATGGCTGTGCTCCAAAGTGATGCATCAGACTGTGTTCCAAAGTGATCCTGCTACCTCTGGGACGGGGTCTATGGATCTTTCCATCTGACGAGCAGGTTTCTTCAGGAAAGTTGAACAGGAGTTCAGTTTGTTTTTGAAGCACAGACATGAAGAAAAAGGCCGATGGGTGGTGAATTGGGAGAAAAATGATGTTGGAAATCGACGATGAATAAAATGAATTGTGGAAGAGATGGTCAATGATGATGGGGTGAAGTCAGGTCCTGAAAAGAATGGCGGAGAGACGTGGAAACTAGTTGCAACATGAATTTCAGTTTTCTGATGCCCTCTGAAGCAAATTTCATTCAAGGCTTAACTTGACTGATTCGACCTTCTCTTATTACACCCGTGTGCAGGTCTTAGATGCTGCTTACTTCGCCAACGCCGCTGCAAGACTGGAACCAGATTGGATCATCACTGGAAAGGAAAGGGAGTTCAACTATGGTTCACCTTCTGAAGATGTGTTTCACGCCCTGTTCCATCCGTTTTCTCAGTCTGCTTCAACTGCTTCAACTGGTTACTTCGATGTGACTCATCGCTTCAATTTCCTGTTGATCAACGTCTTCAGGGGTCAATTTCTTCGGGGTTCACAGGCGACTCGCAGGAGGTTGGAATACTCTAGCGTGGCTCAGCGAGTTTTTCAAGTGAAACCCCACCTGCTGGCGCGACGAGAGGAGATTTTGCGGTGCAGGAGGGGTTGACCAGTTGCTGAGTGGTGAATTATCCTATTTTATCCAAATTTTGTTGGAACCAGATTTAGAAAGCCCAGAATGTTTGGACTATGAGCAATAAAGTATGAACAATAAACCACAGAAGATTGAAAATTCATGAAAATGATGTTGGAAATCAATGGTGGCCATTATTTCACCATGTTTCACCAATCTATATCTATTTGTTTCAGTGTTTAACAGTTTAACCGTCCCAATTCACAACCACATGGTTTCAATCGTCCCACGTGGCAAGTGCCTTGGCAGGAGAGCTGGCGTTGAAAACTGCCCAGTGATTGGGGTGCACAAACGGGTGGATAATCCTGGCACGGCACGGATGCAGCTGGAACAACGGATGCTGCAGATTGGTTGCTATATCCAGGCGGTTCGGAAGGTGGCCAAAGGATATGAACAAGGTGGGTGGGATGGAGATGAGGAAATCCGGGGGTGGAGTGAGCTGAGAGGTATAAACATAACAAAAATGGGAAGGTCTGAGCTACGAATTGAGTTTCCCAACTGATAAATGAGTACAGGATCATCCCAGGATATCCACATGATAGTTCAATAGGTTAAGCTATTTATTTATGGTTAATAAGGGGCTATTAACTGCTTGATAATGGTTGTTACATGTTGTTAATGACTTTAAATATGATGGCCTTAGAGTTTTCACCAGGTCACCAGCTGTAGGCCTTTTGTCGCTTCGCGGGGCAAGCCGAACATGGCTCATCGGATATCTATCCAGTAAACCAACATAGCTACTCATATATATATATAATCACCATTTTCACGTGGTAAATACATATAGTATAGGTCAACCCTCCAAGTAAATGGGCTATTGTCATTCATTTTCCATAGCAACTCTTCAATTACCCGGTGATCAAAACTGGCTGGGAAACCCCGCAGTTTGCTGGGAAAATCATGCCAACTTGCCACTGATCCTACACTGATCGTCAGGATCCCCCTGGATCTTCCTAGCCACGGATGATGCAGATGCAGTACCCGAATTTCGCAAGGCATTTGGGGATCGTCTGATCTGCAATCTCACGGCCAAAAGGTCTGCCGGCGGGATCAATGAGAAGCTTGGAGCTTGCCTTTTGGAGCTAAGATGGTTGGAATGGCCAAAACGTGAGGAAGATGTAGGACAACAATGATAAACCATAAGCCATGGTAGACCATGATAAACCACCAGGGTTTTTGGTGTTTGATGGCCCTGGAGAGCCATATTTTTTGGCCGATTTGGCCGAGGCCCCTCAATGATTCATCCAAGGAAGAAGCTGCCCTTGGAAGTGCATGGCCAAGAGGAAAGGCTCAGTATAGCTGATGCCGAGGACTGTTTGCTGGATGCTTTGTTGCTTTCGGCCTGTGATGCATTTATCCATGCAGATTCCTGGATGGATGAAGCCATACACATCGATATTTTTAGAGATGTTTGACAGTTTTTGTTTTTATGTTTTTGATGGGTCGAGTGGATTTTCCATCACCCGCTAAAGAGTCTTGTTTTCATATTGGTAAAGCAATTTAATAAAGCCATATATGTTGATATATTTTGATGGTTTATACTATAGCCCTTTATGGTAAATTTCTGGGGATGGTGTAGTAAATAGTTTTATCAACAGCAGGTCCCAACTCCGACAGCGCTGTTTACCAAGGATTCGAACTTGACCATCGCAGCGGGAATTTTGAACCCCCATGCTGCAGCACATCGCGTGAGGGACTTGGTCGACTTGGCAGAGAGGAACGCCGAGGCCAGTCACGAGGCTGGGCTTTGGCCCGGCTATAAACGCTGCGGCCTGCCATTTTGAAAAAGCGGCTTCGGTGCTAAGATGATTTGAGATGCCAAGGCTTGCCAAGGCTTGCCAAGGTTTCTGAAGATGTTTGAGGTGTTTTCCCTGCTGCAGAAGTAGTTGCTAGATTTGATGGTTGACACCTCTGAATTTTGATGAACTTGGGAATTTCGGCTGAGTATATGCATATAGTATGAGATGATCATTGCAAAGTTCCTGAACCCAAATTGGGCATCTTATTTGTCGAAACCTTTGAAAGGACGGACTGATTTCACGCTCTGTTTGTTTCAACCAACCCATATCCCAAATGCATCCAAATGCTCCATGTATGGAATATTTACCAACATTTACCCTAAAAATCATGAAAAATCACCCAGTTTTGTAGGTAGATATTCCAGCACCATGGTTTGCATATGGGGGTTAAGGCCATGTTTGAGCATCGTGAGTTCATCCTGCCCAGGAACCGGGAGACCATTATGAAAGTGAAGTTGGCCTCAGTTTCTGGGCCGCTGTTTGGAGGTCATTTTTTTAAAGTTCGGCTTGAACTTAGCAGGTTGGGATAGAACCCGGATTGGACTACACTCTGGTAAACATACAAAGATTATGGAAAATCTTCTTTTTTAATGGGAAAAACACTATAAATATCAATTTTCAATAGCTATGTTAAATTACCAGAGGGTAGCTTGGGTGCTTTCAGAATCTTTCAAATATGTCGACTTTTTTCTGAACAAATTTTCCAGCGTTAGGTAGATGAGGCATTAGGTTTTTGCTCGATCGGACCCGCAAAGTATGGCGGCACCAAATATCTCCAAATACCTTCGTGGGATTTCCTGCGATTTCGCGAGCATATGCAGAGCACATCCAATCTGATCCCAATCCCAACTATTGAGACTTATAAACACCCCAATGTTTTGAAAGTTGTAACCCCATGTTCCAATTAGGGAGCCCTTGGGAGCTATGAGATGGGAAAACCTGCGGACTCCTGCGGAGCTAGAAATTGAGTTTCCCAATCACGGGATAGTAACTACCCTCGGGGAAACTAACATAGCTATGTAGAATCACCATGTTGATAGCAACATCAACTATAAATGGGCTATATGTTCAATAATCATGTTAATTTACAAGAGGGTAACTAGAATTCACAGTCATTGACAGGTTAATAACCATTAATAACAAGTAATAACTATTCTGGACCTCCACCATTAGGACATCTCGCTTCAGTCCCAGGTTGGCTATGGGGCTTTGGACACCTTGCCGAAGAAGTTTCTGCCTCCGATGTTGGGCAATTTTCGGGAAAAGCCACCGGAGGGAACCCAAAATTTACAAGCATCATGCAATCGTCAAATCACAGAGTACCCTCTGGTAAACTAACATAGCTATGGAAAATCACCTTTTTTAATTGGTAAATCAACGATTTCTATGGCCATTTTCAATAGCTATGTTTGTTTGCTAGAGGGTAGTCCCTGGGACATTCAAGAGCTTAAAGCTGTCCAGTGCAGGGAATGAGCTAGCTCGCTATACGTAGAAGCCCTTCCCCCAGCCCTGCGGAGCCCTGCGGAGAGGCGAATTGAGTTTCCCAACTGTAGCTGAGTGCAGGATCATCTCGTGGTACCCGGCCTGGTAAAGTAACAGTTTGGTATTGAAAATGGCCATAGACATAGTGGATTTTCCCATATGTTTACGAGAGGGTATTCAGATTGTAGTCGGATCGTTGAACATACTGATGTTTTTTCTCTTTAATTGGCTATTAATGTCAACCCTGGATTAATAAACCCCGTTTACGGCTGTTGAATTGGGGGTAACATTTATGTATCATATTGTGACTATTTGGAGGGCACCCCCACAATTAATAATCATGGTTTATTAATCCGGAGTTGACATCAATTTGCTTAGTACCGGGTATTACTAGCTATGAATGGTTGATTGTAAACACTTTTAGAGCAGGCTCCTCTGCACTTGCCGGTTTAGTTTGCTGGTGGCATGCTTTGGCTCCAAAATTAGGTACCATAGGAGACACCAAATGGCTCATGCTTAGCATGAAAGCATCCATTTCCTGGGCTATGCATGGCTATGATTTTGATTTTGAATCATTCCCCATATCTTTGGGATGGTGTGCCTTAAACCTGCCTGCCAGTAAACCTTGGAAGCAGGGTAGATGTTTGGCGTTTATTTCGTGAGGTTCAACATCCTCTACGCCCTTTGTGAGCAGCAGCTGAGCAGTGCTGACATGTTTGGGGGCCACTTTTGTTGTTCGAATGAGCTTGGCTACACTTTCTGACATGTTCACCTTAGTCCATCAAACTTAAGAAAAAGCTTTGTGTCTCATTACCAGACAAGTATGGGTTGGAAGTTCTTTTGGCAACAGTTCCTTTAGCATGATTTGTCTTATGATGTAGATTGTATCCAGGAATCTTAGCCATCAGCAAGCATGCAACATAGATGTTTATTGACCCCCTGAGTGGTTCCATACCTTTCTTCCAAAGTACCCTATCATATCCCTGTCATGAAGTACCCTCTGGTTATTTAACATAGCCATGGAAAATGACCCCTTTATAGATGGTTTAGCTATGTTAAATAACCAGATGGTAACCATTGAAGCCGAACATGACAATCTTAGAAGATCCTTTTTCTTTCGAACATTTGGAGTTTGTTGCCAAAAAAACACTGGCAGTGGGGGGGTCAAACAAAATCAGGCCAGACGTTGGACATCTGCCATACCATACCCTCTGGTAAACTAACATAACTATGGAAAATCACCATTTTTCATGGGTAAAATTCACTATAAATGGCAATTTTCAATAGCGTTTTGTATGTTTACCAGAGGGTATCTTATTGCAGGTAAGCAGCGCCACTACGACTTTGGACTCCGCAACATCTTGAGTGTCCTGCGCCAGTCCTGGGTCCTAGTCCCGACTTGAAGTCACCGGTGATGGATCCTGGGATCCCGACGACTGGAAGAACCACCCGATTTTCAGATGGGGATGGGTCAATACCTATTATTACCATATTTGGGGGAATAATCATCTATTCACCAGCTATTTTAGAATACCTAGGGTACCAGGGTTTTGGCCCATAACCAGATTGGATCCGGGGAGGCTGCTGGGAAATTCTGCTGACGTACTGAACCAAGGTAAGTGGGTTTGATGTCAAGTTTCCCTGAAATCACATTAGGGATAGTTTGGGGATTTTCGTTGGAGTGGGAGCTCTTAAAAAAAAAAGGAACGCCAGCTGGATATTGAACAGTGAATGAAACAGGTTGTCATATGGATTTCCCTTCTAAAAGCCAACCCAGTACAATCTCGATGTTTCTATTTGCAGGAAAACATTCTTATTTGGTGGCAAAACATGACATAGAAATTTAAAACACCACAGTCACTGGTAGATTTTCCCATGTGTTCCCAGCTTCCTTCCAACTGACATAGACCCTTCCATGAGTTGGGGGTTAGCAAACTAGAATCATTGGGACAGTGATACCTCAATCTGGCAAATACAATGTGAGGCCCCCCAGTTACAAGTTGGTTGATAAGCCCCAGTAACTATAGTTATAAGTATCATAAACCATAGTTATTGGAGTTATAAACCAACTTAGCTATCTAGGGGGCCTCACATTGTATGTTGCGACCTCATTGCAACATCACCATGATGTGTTTTTCATGTTTAATGATGGTGAATTTCCCTGAAATTTGGCAAGTTTTCTTGTGAGGTTGCTGAATCATAAAAAATGGGAAATTCATTGCTTGGCCATGGGAAATTCATGGAGTGCGAATTCCCACGAGGGGAGGTTTTTTGAGATAGGTAAGTTGATTTATAACTTGACCAACTATGGTTTATGAGGGATATACCGAGCTGGTCAATGGTTTTTTTTAAAGCAACAAAGATGACTGCGGGGCATCACCTTGGAAAATGTGCCTTTCAATTTTCTGAATATTCCCACAGGATACCCCAATAAGATATATATATATATATACACCTATTTATATGTACTTAGATTATTTGTAGCATATTCCCATACATACTCCCAATATCACGAACATTCCCATTGCGAAGTTATTGCGAAGATCATCAGATCTATTTTTCTAAGAGATAAATTTCATACGTTAAGATACATTGCAGCATATATCCCATGATTCTTTCCATTGGGTGCCATGAATCTTTTTGAAAACCCCAGGTCGGGCATCGTGAAGCGTAGCGAACCCGGGGAATCGGACGAAGAGATGCTCTTCATGCGCACGGTGCGATGATTACGGGGCGGCTGGGAGGGAAATGGGATGCTTTTTTTTTTAAATGAGCAATTATAATTATATTTATAATTTATCTGGATGATCTGTCTGATTATATAGGAAAATGGTCAGTTTCTGGATGATTTGCCTTATAAAAGACCTATTAAAAATTGGGAATAGTAACCCCAACTGACGAACTCATATTTTTTATATTTATTTATTTTTTTAAATTTAATTTCAAAAGCAATGAAACCTATTTACCAAGTTCACCGTCCCGTACTTTTACCCTAATCCGTACCAGGATTCTCCAGCCAATAGAGCATTACTTTTGAAACTAGATAATGTATAATGTTTATTCAGACAATAAAATATGAGATGATTTTATTCATTATACCTTAAGATGGTTTATTTAAGAGTATTTATCTGACATCTTCAAATCACAGAGTAGTTACCCTCTGGTAAACATACAAATAACTATGGAAAGATCCTCCATGTTTAATGGGTAAATCCACTATTTCTATGGCCATTTTCAATAGCAAACTGTTAGTTTACCAGAGGGTATCTTATAATGAGTCTTAATCATATTTATTTGAATCTTTCATTGATATTAATTTATCTTAATACCTCTTGATGCTTCTCATAGTATAGTTCAGTCTTAATATTTATCTTATATATATATATTGATTGATTGATTACATATTGAGAAGATATCTGAGTATATCTGGAGAAGCTGTGGCAGGTGCACCCAACTGTTGGGTTTATGGGTGGTTTAGCTGTACATAGTTGAACAGCTGAGCTAGTTCACAACTCCAACATTTTCTGGGGGTTATATCTATAGTTAATGGGGATTATAAGAGTTTATATCTATTTTCTGGGGTTTATATCTATAGTTAGTTTATATCTGAGTTTTCTGGTGTTTATATCTATAGTTAACGGGGGTTATAAGCCAGCTTATAACAGGAGCTGCCACCTTAATTGGCGAAATGGTTGCTGTTAGGATAACATAGGATAACAAGGTTCATCTTAAATCATATGGAGGTTTCCATAAATTTCGGATTCCCAAAAAGGATGGTTTTTAATGTCTGGGATAATCCTTCCCATTGACTAATATTTTGCAAGATGGTTAAAACCACCAAACAGATGAACATAGCTTATTGTTTATAGATAATTTACACATTAAAAAGGTGATCTCCCGATGTCCACAAAGTGTTTTAAATTACCAGAGGGTAAATCATGTCAATGTTCTCTAAAATCGGATTTGTTTACCAGAGCACTTTGGTTTTGGATCCAATCAATGTGGAATGTCAGGACCCTAAAACAGAGTTACTGTACGATATAAAGATATTTAAAGCATTTGTTCAGCCATAGTTTGCGGATGCTGGGAGGCATGTCTCGTTCCATAATTCTTACATCGGCCTTGTATATGGTAGATTACGGCAGGTGCCTTACAACAAGTCGCTACTTGAACTGGCCATTGATCCAATGATTATGGAGTGTCCTTATCGATGTTAGCTTGCCATCGGTCCTGGCAAATAGTGATGCTTGGTCGCTTCAAAGACGTTCAAAGATATAGAATAAGTCAACCATTGCATCTACGGAGAATATATATATATATTGTTTTTGTTTTACGTGTGTTGTATATATTTATATATATATATATTACCCGTGTACACACACACATATATATATACATAATATATGTGTATTAAATATACATCATATATGTACAAGCACCATTCTTTTACTGTTTATTTGTATAAGATTGTATTGGCCCATGTGTATGTTACAAAATAATCACCAGGGGATAGTGATCCCACTTGAGGAGTTCATATTTTGGATAGCCTTTGTTGGTGAAGGTAGCTTTTCCTGGTTTGCACACGTCAAATGCTCCGTATGAAAAAATATTGTGCTGGAATGACTTTCGCGTAAAATACAGTTGTTGCCTTTGTTGTTGCTTCACTCTTTGGAGCCACATTTAAGATTTTCCCGTGCAATCTTAAGTTCAAGCAGGTTGTATCGAGTTTCTCCCGCTTACAGACCGATTGTAAGGATACTACTTCTGCATTCTTGCTGCGGAATCGTTCCAGAAGTAGTCTTGCTGGTTGAACAGCGTATTTGATTAATTAAGTTAAACGTCACATTTGAGCCCATGCCAGCTCACATATTGCACACGAGAACTGGACCTCGACGGTTTTGGTCACAGCAACATGCTGTCCTTGAAATATCCCCATGTGTCTTTGAAATATGCACCATCAACATTCTAAGCATCACTTTGAACTGTTCCGTCCGATTAGCTGAATCTGTTGCATGGGCGACCGCATGCCATGAGTCAGTTCATGTTAGGGATAAACATTGTAGCACCCTTCAAACAGATAGAAACGTATATCCAGGATGATCCAGGATGGTAGTTCGATGATTTTTTAAACCTCATACTTCCAAATTTCCAAGATATGTTCTATCATTTTTTTGGGACTGACTTTACACGTCGCTGGGAAATGCATGCTGGATTCACCCACTGCCCGGGGCGCAAAGCTGATGCAAATTGCGCCGCCTCGAGAAGCGCCATCATGCGGATGTGATTCAATGGGATTTAACAGGACTTGATGGTGATTTAGTGGACTATTGAAATCGGATTTAAGGTGTTGGAATTCTGATTTATCTTGGTGAATGGGGTTTCATGAGGATTGGAAAGATGGATGAACCTTGCGCAGCATGGTTATTCCAATTTGGTTGTCAGTTGGGATGGCGATTCCCATTGGCAGATATTTCTCAAAGAGGGTGACACGCCAACCAGTGCAGTTCTGTTGCTCACCGACCTCCGCGAAAGGTGCGCGACATGAATCTGTCGAAACTCGTGGCAGATGATGTCGCGGCCCTAAATCATTTGGGATGTTGCAGGTGCCCTAAACCTTGAACCTCGGATGAACAAACCTTGAATTTTTTAGGGTGGGCCATAGCACCAACATATTCATAGAAAATCATACTGTATTACTGGCTGGCGTTGGTCTCCTTGTTCATGAATTGGTCGTCTATTCATCCTGGGTTAATATTTCCATGTTTCAGCATCAAGAGTTTGAAGCAAGCACGCCCAAAAAAAGGTCAAGCAAACCCTTATAGATGAATTTCAAACCTTCGCCAAATCCTTGGCTCACTTCAATGGCCGGGTTTTCGCGTGGTTTCAGTTTTGTTCCCAACCAAAACTGTGTCATGCATGTTGTTATGAGACTTGCAACGACCAAGAAGTGAATGAATAGATACCCTGCATTCAACATACCCTAACACGTGGAAAACTGATGGTTTCGGAACATGATCGACATTCATTTCTCGCCTTTTTTTGGCACGACTGCCACAGATTTTGGATGCCACGTTCCCTGTGAGGTGCCACTCTTCATGAACCTGTTGGAGGACCTCTTTCCAAAGGCGCTTTTCAGACATCTTTCAGGGATCACCTAAAAATATGTTGGAAACCATAGATTTTCCCATGAAAAAATATGGGGTTTTCCGGCTAATTAAATTTTCCCTTCAACCAGTGAATACTGGATACCACTGATGCCAATGTGAGAAGGTGAACCCTTAGATTGGATAGCTAAGTTGGTGAACAGAACTGGGTGATTTTTTTCTTGTCGATAGACATAGATCATGATATTTCGTGATATATCTATAGATCATGGGGTTTATAAACCTAATTCAATAACTGGAGGGGGCCGCTCTTACATTACCCCGCAATCAAACATGGTTTACTGAAAAAACACCATTGAGTTCGACATTGCTTTCCCATTTAAAAAATGTATATGAACAGTGGATGTTCAACAACCATGTTGGATTTAACGATGATTTTTTAGACGTGACGTGTTACGCTGCTACACCATCCAATCCATCCAATCCTTTACGGAATAGGTCACGGAGACACCGGAAATGAACTACAAGAGCCTGGAAGAGACGGTGTCTTGGCTATCGGTCCCATCTGATCCAAGTATCATTGACAAGCGGATGCGTATCCGAGTGTCTCGCAACCTGCGCGACATGATGCAATTGGGCCCTTCTGCTTCAACCAGAAGATACAAGGCAAAAAACAGAAGTATAACTGCGGGGTGTGAGAAAAAAACCTAATGTTCTGAAGATATTGCCCATTTTCTTTCGAGATCTTTTTTGAATATCTCCTAATTTGACGCCTCAGGTGGTGAATATTACTGCGAAGGAACGGCTCACCCAGAAGGACCATTTTTCCATCGTTTGGCGTACCTGGCTGTGCTCTGAGTGCAGCAGAAACGCACCAAAAGTCGAAATGACATGAAATGACTTGATTCAGCATCCACTGAAAGGCTGTTTCCTCCCATTCAAAAACATCCAGGACACCTGGATGTTGAAGATCATCCAGTTGTATGAGCATGGCCCTCATTGTATCTGCGGTGATGTTGGATGCTGTTGGATGCTGTTGGATGATTCTTAATTGTGGAATATACATCGTAAGTCGTAAGTATCGTAAGATCACTGGGTTAACTAGAATTGATCTGGTTGGTGCTTTGGGACATGAATGGATTATTCTTCCATTCAGTTGGGAAATTCATACTCCCAACTGACGAACTCATATTTTTCAGAGGGGTGGCTCAACCACCAACCAGTTATCTTGTGAAAGGGTTTTGTTTGAACATGGGAAGATGATATACCTCAATTTAAAAATATTGTATTCTCAGATGAAGAATCAAATTATGAGAATTTTGGTATTCTTGGCGCATTTTTGTGGGGGATGTGGAACTGCCAGCATAGATCAGATGAACAGTGTCCAAAACTATGGGCAATGCGACCTTTGAGCCTCAGAGGACCAGCCCATAAGTGTCTCCCCAGCTGGCAGATTACCATCCGGCAATCAAACGTGGCTGGAAAATCTCCCATTGATACTTCAATTAGTTTGGGGATTTCCCAGCTAGCCATGTTTGAGTACCGGAGGACCCCATGTTTTCCCAAGGGAAGGTATATTCCTTTACTGGCCGTAGACCGTCAACATCAGGCAAGCCATTGCTATGACCATCACCAGCTATGACCTTCAAAAGGAAGATCTCCATATGTCCCCCGAATGTCCATTTCAATTGGGAAAATTGCGGATGAATTATCATAAATTATTCATATTTTGCCATATTTTCCATTGTCAAAGTTGGGGACACCTTTTTTCTTTAGACACGCCATATGAATATATAAACTAATATATAAAAACATCACTTTCCACAAAGCCACATTTTTTGCATGGTTGATCTTTAGCTTTCCGTTCGACTCCCGAACCAGTTCGACTCGAGGATCTCCCTGGTTCGACACGGTTTCATGTTGGTCGGTTTCTGGGCCTAAGATGGGGATCTGGGGTGGGATAAATCTGTCGGATTTTCTGTTGGGTAAGTCCATTATCTGATTGGTATAGATGACCCATTTATATATAGATGATGTACCTATGAAAAGTGATGATTTTCCATGGCTATGTTAAATAATTATCTGGATGATCTGTCTGATTATATAGGAAAATGGTCAGTTTCTGGATGATTTGCCTTATAAAAGACCTATTAAAAATGGATAAAATATGACTGGTTGGTGGTTTGGAACCATGGAACTTTATGACTTTGTATTTTTCCATATATTGGGAATAATAATCCCAACTGACGTGACGAAGTCATTATTTTTCAGAGTATTGAACATGATTTTCTGCTGGGTAAGTCCATTAGTGTGGTTAAAACAATGTCATACACCACCCCATTTGTTGATGGTTTATACCACCCATTGATGGTGATTTGGGGGATGGTTGATTATTGTTTTAACCACATTATTGTAATTAGAAAATCACTTCATTCCATGGATATGGATTTCATATCCAGTGTTCTGTTGCTTATCCACCACCATTCCCCACCAGCTTCACTATCCCGAGATGTTGTGGTGACATCCCCTGGCGTAAAAGATGCTCCTACTCTCCAACTGGTTGTTGGATTCTGGAATCTCAAAGGTATGTGAGCAATCGTTGAGATGAAGGAAACCATCAAAACATGAGCCAGAGTTGATTTCAGAAGAGTCCTTAATCATGTTTGCAAAGTTACTCAGCATGCACATATATGATTGACATATCAGATGTGATATATTAATTTATATATTATATGTGCACATTGTGTGTTGATTATGTTTACTATTAGAACCAGTCAGGGAAATTGTCAATCAAGGAATTTGGCAAAGCCAATGTCCGCGTAGTGATTATAATTTTATGCTATATTATGCTGGCCTTGTTTATTGAGACCAATTCCCATGCACAACCAATTTTCCCCTGTTGATCCTAATAACTAATAGCAAATTATGCACATGTACACACATATATTTACTTATATATATATATACATATACATTTGTGATCAATTTTTCCAAAAACAAATTCCCATATGGGCCATTATCCAAAAACAAATCCACATGATTGTTGAATTTTCAAGGGAGGCTATTTATCAACCATGAAAAGCACCAAACCTATACATTGAATAGAATGTGTTTTATTGAATGTAAAGGACGGATAACGAATGTTCACCATGAACATCTTAATCCCAAAATTGATTTAACGGAAAACCTAAAGAAACCCCCAATCAATTTGATGGTAAAAACAATGGTTTCCGGTTCAAAATTTCCCGCAAACCAACTTACAGATTTTTGTTGGTTGTACCAAACCCTAAAAAAGATCGACGAGTGATTCACCAGAGTTTTAGTAGAATTTCACATCTCTATCGTATTGGTGCCCATTAGGATCCCATGAACCCATAACATGCCCATAGTTTCCATAATCAATGGTTTTTTCCCATGATTTACGAATGAATTTCCATCAGTTTCCCATATGTTTTCCATAAGTTTCCCATACGTCTTCCAACTTTCCGATATTTTCCTTGGTTTTCTCATGGTTTTCTCATGATTTTCTCATGGTTTCCCTATGATTTTCAGGTCCCTCTTGGCAGCAGATGACTGGAATGCCCAAGGTCCCAGCCTTTGTGGCAAGTCGCGGATCATGCAAACCTTGACTCAAGCTTTGACGGAGGATAAGGAGCAACCTGCACCCCACAAGCTGGTGGTCATGAACCCAAAGGCGAGATGTATGTGCCTTGCAGGATCTTGCAGTACTAGTGTTACTTACCAGGTTTTACTTTTAGTAAAAATGAATAAGAATGGGAAATCATGTGATAGTGATAGTTATATAATATGGTATGATATGATATGATATAATGATGGTGTAATTTTGGGGATGCTGTGATTGAGTATTGGTGGAATTTTCCTGGAATACTAGTGGTCAATACCTGTCGGTGACATTAGACATGGCGGGTTGCTGGGAAATCATCGAACTAAATGGATCTAAATGGTGCATGTTTCATCAAGCCATGTTACCAGGGGGTACTTTTTGTTGTTGTTTTACCCTCTGGTTATAACAAACAGTTTGCTATGGTATAGATGGCCCATAGAAATAGATGGTTTACCGATTAAACATGGTGATTTTCCATGGCTTTGTTAAATAACCAGTTGTTTTACTATTTTTAAAGATATGTTTTAAGATGTTTGTGAATGTGCCACTGGTTTCCTCATTTCAAGGCCGCAAACTTTCCAAATTTGAGAGTTTGCAATGTTTCTTGCGACCAGAAGATGTGCTGCTGATCTGGTTATGGGTCAATGTTCGGTATCAAAAACTATGAACTTGGATGCTTCGAGCAAAGTTTCGAAGAATTCGCCAAGCTTTTCGCGGTAGGTTAAGCCATGTGTAACGTCTTGTTGCTGGCCACCTACTTTTTTTTTGGAAGGCACCATCATCGCGATAAAAACCAACCGAAAAAGCCAACCCAATGCTCTGATTCGGCCATCGACCTGCATTTCTTTGCGGAATCACCCGCAGCAGTATCTCGCTATGTCCAATTGGTGGTTCCATTTTGTTAGGTGGTTATATCATGTTATATCCCTCCATGAACACCATCAAAATATGAAACAACAAGCTCCTGGGCTGTTTGATTGGTAGGATTGTTTTGGGGAATGCCGGAAAAGATCAACCGGAGTTTAGCAAAATCCGACTTTGACATTACATTTGAAGATATTGGATATATTATGATGTATTTATTGGATATATTTGGATGTTCTAAGAGTCAAGGAGTCCCCATGTTTTGTTTGGGCATTTTCTGGCAACTTTCTTGGCTACCTGGAAGGCCATCACCGATGCTCAGATGTACGGTGTGAAAGATGCTTCCAGCGGGGTCTCTTAATGTAGAATTTTGGTGACCAGATTGTATAGAGTCGGGGAGCCTTTTTCTGAGTTACCCAACCTGGTTATGACTAACAGTTCGCCATGGTATAGATGGCCCATAGAAATAGATGGTTTACCAGTTTACCTATTAAATATGGTGATGTTCAATGGTTATGTTAAATAACCAGATGATAAGAGACATGTTCTTTTTCTTTTTTGTTTTATGGTTTAGCCTTTGGTAAACATAGAAAAAATTGGACCTGAGAGACATGTTCTTTTGCTTTTTTATTTTATGGTTTACCCTCTGGTAAACTAACATAACTATGGCAAATCACAATTTTTAATGGGAAAATCAAGGAACTAAATGGCAATTTTCATTCAATAGCTATGTTAAATGACCGGAGGGTATATTTGTTGGTAGAGAATAATATCCGATTTACGGATATTGGAATGCATTCAGCAATTATTTTTGGAGCATGGTTCAAATTGAATGGATGTTACTGATATAATATTGCCAACGGATGGGTTTTGATCATTTTGTAAATCATAGTGGATGTTGTGCTAGTGGCTCTAGATATTGGATGCCTGGATGCCCCAGAACTGGGTGGATTGACACGTCTTCGTAAATGGATACAGAAACGACATGTTTTCCGTGTTTCACCTAGCCCCTGGTAAACTGACATGACTATGGAAAATCTTAATTTTCAATAGGTAAATCAACTATTTCTATGGGTCATGTTCTATGTCGCAAACTGTTAGTTGACCAGGCCGGGTATTCTTGCGCTCAGAACCTCTGGGGCAGTCATTGGAGGGTCACCCGGATACCAGCCGTTCTTTTCGTTGATTGGGTGCGTATGTTTGTTCATTGTATTTACCCTGGGGTAAACCAACATAGACGTGGCAAAAGCATTGGTTTCCCAGGAAATGAACTACAAATGGTGGATTTTCTATCAAATTATGTGGGTTTACAGCAGGGTATCACACACACACGTGCAATTCGTTTTGAATCACATGTTTGATTGCATTTTATTATTTAAATATGCTTGTCCCCTATTTTGATTGCATTACTTTTTTTGAATGGAGTTGTCCCTGTTTTGATTCTAGTGTTGATCTCGTTCAATGTTTCTTGGATCTTGGTTTTCATTGGCACCACTATTCAAATATTCAACACAGAATCTTGATATAATCATACGTCAATTTATATCCATGAATTTTCAACGTAATGCATGTTCAATTGCCATTTCAGGTACCCTACCCCCAGTTATAAGTTGGTTTAGATTCGCCCCAGTAACTAGTTCATTATTTGCGTACCATAAACCATAGTGAAATTGGAGTTACAAACCCACCAACTGAACGCTATCGTGGCCGGGGGCCTCACATTGGCGGTGGTTGTTTCAGATATCCTTTCTCCAATAGGTTGGTGGTTTGTTCAGGATGCTTGAAAACCTATACCCTTTGTATGGTAGGCATACAAAAAACGATGGAAAACCACCATTTAAAAACAGCAAATCAACTATAAATGAAAAAAAACAATAGCTATGTTATGGTGTAAAATCCCAAATGATTAAAACCCATCAAAACCCCAAATAAACCCATAACAACAAATAAAAACATATCAAAGCCCCAATAAAAAAACAATAAAAACCCACATTTTACCATCTAACAACTGGTAGGATCTCATCTCGCGTCTGCCAAGGCGGTGATGAATGGACGCCCGGAGTGTTGGATGACCCGGACAGGAATTTTTTGTGCATCCCAGGTTAGGAAATAACGTTAATAGAATGTGAATAACCCATTAATATATAGATATATCTTAATATAGATCAATATAGATTAATCCTATATATAATCTCATTAATAGATCTATATCATATATCATATAGATACATGATATTATATATCTATATCATCAATAAATTAATATCAGATTCAAAAACACTGATGATATGAAAACTGTTAATATTATTAATCTATATTTTGATTAATCTATCTTATTAATAACCCTTTAATAGGATATGAGTTGTATGTTATATACAGATGAACTAATATATTATTGTTATATTATTGTATATTGTTTATAGGAAATCATATATTTATATGATATTAATATAGGCCATAAAACTGCTATATATAACTGCTATATGTTTATTTAAGTGCCCAAGGGGCAAGGGGCGATTGCAAGTCGGCCATTGCAAGTCGTTTCGGGTATGTTGGATTTCCCCCCCTATTTTTGGCGGAATGTGTTCTGAGGTAATTCAGACTTATCAACAGCCATTACCTGTGGTTCATCATGGGAAATCATGGGAACATAGTGGGAAAATTTAAGGGTAAAACAAGCAATAATCCGGGATGAATAATGGATGATGGGAATTTACCCTCTGGTAATTTAACAGTTTGTGACATTACCTATTGAAAATTGTGATTTTCCATAGCTATGTTAGTTCACCAGAGGGTATTCTTTAATAAACATAAATACGTTCAACCAAGCTAAGAATGGGGATTGTTCATGGGCAGATAAAAATCAGAGTATTTCCGGGGCTTGGTTATTGGGGATTTGTTGGAGATGTTATCCCCTTGTTTAAGGGGTGATGTTCAAGTAGGGCATTGTTCAACTCCATTTCCAGACCTAAAACTATTGAAACAAGTCGATGTTGGATGATGTTGGAAGATGAAATTCCAATTCTTACTTCATTTTTCCTTGCTGGATATCCGTTTTGGAAGATCTCAATGGTCAAATATCAAATTGCAACGGCGCAAATCCTTCGCAACGACTTGCAGATTCGCATCCATTTGGCAGCAGAAGAACAACCGCGCATTGAAGTACAGCACTTGGATCGTTTGTCCGGCCCCCAGTGAGGATGATAAGTGAAACCAGTGGTTGGGAGTTTGTAACCGTTGTAACCTAGGGAAAAGTGGTAGTTGCTTCTATGTTAGTAATGTCATCCCTTAGTCCCTTAGCTTCAATATGAAGTATTAGTAGCACCCTCTTTTTGATCCACGGTGTATTTTTTATTTCAGGTCCCTCGGTGGCATTAGGATGAGGAATTTGGCACGGCAGCTGGCTCATGGCTCACCAACTATATAATTTGGGGGATTTATACCAAAATCTGTCCCATAGAGCGCAGTAGATGTAAACACAGGCCAGAGATGATACCATGCTTGAAGCAAACGACGTGGTTTCTTCGTTTCATGCCATATGAAGGCTCAAAAATGGCCAATGGTTCATAATGGTTCTCACTTGTCAAGGCCAATAAATCGAAGGAACCCAGGGCCCAGCGCCAAATTTGAAGATATCATCAGGGTGGTTTGCAAGAAAATTAAACCTCACATTGCAGGAAACCTGGAGATGTGGGTTTGTCAAAAAGCAGGTTACCCATGATTACCCGAGAAAATCGCATTGTTTATCATCATAGTTCCTCATGATGTTTGTTATATTTACACTTCAAAACGGCCACTTGATTAGGGAAAACCCCTCTTGGGACAGTCCATTTGAATCCATTTGAATAATTTTCGATGCCCTTTGTGTTTATGAAATCCATTAACAATTAAATATAGGTTTTTTCCAGAGAGAAACCAATAGCTTTCACATAACATTGTAGTATTGCTGTGGTTTATCACTACGTATGAGTGTTGCTATCATTTTCAATAGTAAAAGCATTAACGCCCATCTACAAAAAATCATCAGACACCCATATAGTTATACAACCCATTTACATTTACTACTATGTTGTATATGAAGGATGAATTAGCGGTTATGATTGATTCTTTAAAACCTTAAAAAAAACCTTATAAAACCACTTAAAACCCATTTACATTTGCATAACCTATGTTGGATTTAGGGCCTCAGGTGTTTTCCTTAACCACCAGCACGATTTTTTCTGGCGCGGCAGGTGATGGACCGATTGATGCGATCTGGATCGAGAATCTGAACACGGTCTTGGATGACAACAAGTCGCTGGGACGCGGCGTGACTTCGGGATATGTTTTTTCGTGATTTACCCTCTGGTTATTTAACATAGCCATGGACAATGGGCAATTTTTAATAGGAAAATCAATGTAAATCATCAAAACACATCTATTTCTATGGGCCATGTTCCATGGCTATGTTAAATAACCAGAGGGTACATCATTCATAAGTGAAAATGGTTGGAAACTTGCCTAAAAATGGAGCTTTATAGCTGGTTTAATAGTTTAATATAGAGAACATCATGTTAGTAAAGCAATAGTAAACTGCCCGCGTTTTCATGGTTTATACCACCCATAAAAGTGGTAAATGTGGGGCTGTTTTTTTCGGTTGCTTTACTAACATTACTCGGAGGAACATCCAGCTGGATGTAACTCGTTAGTATCCAGAGTTGTGATCCATTTGTTCATGGAACAATTACCATTTGGTAAACCTGGTAAACATACAAAAAAACTATGGAAAATCACCATTTTTAATGGGTAAATCACCGATTTCTATGGTCTTTTTCTATGTCGCAACCTGTTAGTTGACCAGGGGGTAACCCACTTAAGGGATTAACCAACCAGGGTGAACTACTTAGTAAATGGGATGATCCTTCAAGTATTTACTAGTGTTCTTAGATGCTTTAAATGTCACTACATGCTGATATTTCACGATCTATGACAGGGGTTTAACCAAGAAACGTGGAATATGGGAATATGGTGGTTTTTTCTGGGATGGAATTGGGATATGATGGGTGTTCAAACTGCAAGATGTTGCTATATATCTGGACGACAATGGACAACTATACTATTATAGTAATTTATACATTTATTAATGTGGAATTGAGCATATATTCTAAAATATGATGGGGTTCAAGTACATGTTCTCACCAATTACAAGGAGGGATACACTGGGGATATACATTGTGGGGATATAAGGATATACTGGTCCTACACCATTTGAATCGCTGTTTTCCGACACTGGACCGATGGGAATTACACATGGGTAATCATCCCCATAGCTCGCTGGCTGTTTTTCATAACAGCTATTTTCAGGTTAGTGAACTATTCTAAGATTTCTAAGGGTACCATCTGGTTATGACTAACAGTTCGCCATGGAAAGATCCACCCATGCTATTAAGTTCGGTAAACCATCTATTTCGATTAGGGCCATCGATTTTCCATGGCGAACTGTTAGTCATAACCAGGTTGGGTATCCACCCTATGGGTAGAAGCGAACATTTATCCAGTATTGTCCCATTGCTGGAGCCACTGGATGACTTTTTCTGGGATAATGGATGACATTTGATCAATGGGAGATCTCCAGGATCCAGTACCATATTTTGGGCCATATTTTCTGGGGATATTCCCTGAAAATTAGGCCTTAAAAAAAGGCTTTATATATGGTAGGTACCTCCAATTTAGGTTCCTGAAATGGCCATTGATTTGATATTTAGAACAAGCCCAAGGCAGGATGCCTTTGAGAGTGTTCCCATGCTATGGAGGAGAAAAAAATCACCTCATAATCCCAGCTTTCCCAGTCTCCTCTTTTGGGGTCGCTATATAGTTATTGGCCTCTGGTAAACATACAAAAAATATGGAAAATCACCATTGTTAATGGGAACATCAACTTTTTCTATGGCCATGTTCAATAGCTATGTTAAATTACCAGAGGGTACATGTTATTACTATCCCCCCCACAGAAGCATCATCCAACATGATTTTTCAACAGGCCCAAAATGGAGACAACATGAAATTGCATCACTTTCCTGTGTCATGCCAAGTTCCTCCTCATTTTGACATTCTGTGGGTGGTTGTGAAATCCTGCACCAGTTGGTAACGATTGGATTATTGGCAAGTATGAAACACTGCAAATAATGGGATTATTTTCTCGGATTTTTCCGGATAAACCATCTACCAGCTGGTGTTTCCATCCACAGTATTTTGATCCATAGCCATATGACATGCCATTGGCATGGCATTGGCCATGACTTTCAGGATCCTGACGTTGGCGAACAACGACCCGACCTTAGAAATGCTGTGGTCATATTTTTTTGGGGGAAATCCCTAGAAAAATGGCGGTTTAAATGGGAAAACAGCTTGTAAATGGAAGCTTTAGTTGGAAAACAACCTGCAAATGGAGGTCCTGGTGGGAAATTCATCCAACTAAATGGATGTTTTTTGTTGGGAAAACGGAAAAAACATCCAACAGAATAACAGAATGGAGTGATTTTCCAGCAGGCCAGGTTTGAGAACAGGGTATCAACAACATTGACTCTGGGGCTCCTATTTCACTATTTTCACCCATATGAGGTGTCTTAGTGATCCAGTGTTGATCATTATGAATGTGGGTAAAACAATAATAAACCATCCCCCAAATCACCGTAAATAGGTTGTATTTGTTCCATTCCTCAATGGTTGGTTTATGACATTGTTTTTACAAACATTAGTTGATTTATGTTGATTTATCAATCAAAGAAGTACTGTCACTGTCGTTGGCATCTTCCTCGCATGGTGCAGCATGGTGTTTTTATGACCTGCATGTGGGGAACGTTTTCAGGTTGGGACGGTTCGCGCGAAAAACATGTTGTAAGGTATCACCTGATGGGGAGACTGCATGGTTTCTATGGTTTCCACCCTCGGGCCAAACATGGCACTGGGAAATTCATTACTGGTTGGTGCTTTGGAACATGATTTTTTTATGACTTTCCATATATTGGAATATTGGAAATAATTTGAAATAATCATCCCAACTGACGAACTCATATTTTTCAGAGGGGTGGCTCAACCACCAACCAGATTATAGATTATAAATGTGCTATTCAGTGGGAAATTTATTTTCACATGGGGTTTGTTCCCCTGCCATGTTTCACTACCAGCTGGACGGCTAAGGATCGAATTCCCATGACGGACAACTGCCGCATTGTGTGTGGCACTCAGTTGTGAGCACATGTTTGACTCACCATGGGGCTCTACAACCAGAAGAAGCGCCCAAAATATGGATACGCCCCCAAAATGGCAATATTCAAAGAAGGGAACATGGTGATAAACCATTATACACGTCGTTTGGTAACAATCTTAGATGTATTTCCAAAAATAGAACCTGTTTCTGTAATTTCTGTAATTTCTGTTTCCTAGGTCCCCAAAGGTCTCCAAAAACCAGGGTTTTTCCCAGTGGACGTGACTGCAATTTTCCAATGTTGAGCAGGTTCGAAGTGGAAAGCCTGCGCAATGCGTCCCCAGCCACTGCCTGGATCCCAATGGAGCCATGGAGCTATGGAATGCCCCCAATTTTTATGAAAGGTTTGGTTTTCTTTGGATAAAACTTTGGAGCATTCCATCCAAAACAACTTGTTTCATGGTTTGTTAAGCTTTTTTAGTGACTTGAAATATATTCCTCAGCCAGATATAAATCGGCTGATTTTTGTTTGGGCTTTGTTTTGTTTTTTGTTCGTCAGTTGGTCCCATGATTTTTATCACTCAAGATTTCTGATCTCTCCATTGTTTCTCTCAAGGATTTTCTATGAAGATGCCCAGCTAAAAAAATGCGATAGTTTTTTCCTTCATTCCAGACTCGAAATGGCACTTTTCATTGGAACATGACAAACTATATGATAAACTGGTTGGTGGTTTGGAACATGAATTTTATTGTTCCATATATTGGAAATAATCATCCCAACTGACTTTCATATTTTTCAGAGGGGTAGGTCAACCACCAACCAGTAAACTATTGGCTTGTGATGCTCGAATTCTTGACCGGCCATGTGGTTTATACAGACCTGGTATCCAGTGATCCAACATTGATTCTGCTGATCACTACTGGGGCTAGAGCTGATATCGTTTTTCCCAAGGCCATCCGAGTGTCAAGATTTGAGATTTTTCAGCTATAATGACAGCTGTTTTCCCAGTCAAATTGCTTCATTCCCCAGCTCGCTGTTTGGGAAGTTGCAGTGAAAACTCCATGATTTTCCATGCTATCCAATCGATGTTTCATGAAAAATCCTTCAGCCAAGCCCACTGACTCCGAAATCATCCGGAGTAGTGAGCCAAAAAAGAGTCAACTTCAGGTCTCTCGTGCGGGCATCATCTATGTCTCCACCTCCGATCTAGGTGCCTTGTTTTTTTTTTGGGAGGACTTAGGGATGAATATGATGAAATGATATGAAATGATGAATCATTGCAGATCATCCTGGGGCCCATTGAACCCATTGTTTTTGATATGTTTCTCATGGATTTTGGACGAATTCCTTTGGAATTAACGATTTGGGTGCTCCATTCTAGGCCAAAGTTGAATCCAGGGACTGCAATTTCGAGAAAGAATGAGAGCCAACCAAGCAAAGACACAAGCCACATCTACGACACGGTAAGACAACCTAAGATTAGCTTAAGATGTTTGTGTTTTGCGTGGCCCAACCACGCACCAGATGGTCCGGTTGAAGAAGAGCCTTGAGGATCGATAACCAGCAGTGTGCTGGTATTTGTTGGTGCCTGACGCAATGCTAGGCATCATAAACATGGGACGCGTTGTTCATCTGCAACTCAGTAACAACCCACGGAGAAACAAAAAACACCAGAGTTACCAACCAGTAAACTAACAATGCACGGCCGAAAGTCCACTATTTCTATAGATTCTATTTTTATAGAGAAAGCCTATGGCCCATGAGTTTTCCACATGTTTTTTCCACATGTTTGCCGTTTCTGCTTTGGCAATTCACAGGTTGGGCTCCCTTGGTGGAATCATGGCTAGCGCAACGCTTAGATCTAGGCCTGGGGGATTGGGGGATGGGCGAAAAAACGTTTTTTTTTCAACATGAAATGGAGTCATTCTTCGTGGTTTCGGATAACCAACCATTTAAGGGAATGGTTGATGGAGATACCACCTATTGATATCTCAAAACATGGTGAAAATGGGGATGGTTTCTTATTCCAATGGGAATTCCAGGATCCTAAAATGGAGCTACTTATTAGTACTGTACCATATTTCAGGCCATATGAACTGGGGGTATATCCCCTGAAATTTAGGTCGGTTCCTGAGATGGCCAGGGATCATTCGGGAAGAATATTGGGGGGATAATGATTACCATAGGGGAAATGTTGAATGACAATGTTGGAAAGAATGGTGGGTGCATAATGATCATTGTTTTAATATGGGAATATTTGGAATAATAAATTTTATTGAATGACAATCATGTTAATATGGGGAACGTGGTATGCCCAATCACAAACCATACCCTCAAAAAAAATGGAAGCATTGTAATATTAATGGTGTTTAATTGCTTAGTAATAGCAATTTCATCATATGGGGACAAATGAGAATAAATGAGAAATATTGCTACATATGGGAATGTCAGGATTTTTTTTAGGACAATAATCTGGTATATACGGCAAGAAGATGGCAATAAGAGAGGAATACTGGTGTATATTGATATACTTACTATATACCAATATTTTTGACCTATCCAGTCATGGGCATGTTCCCCAAATGGGGATACATTTGGCATAATTACGGGATAATAAATGACGAATACAGCTATACCCTGGGCGGATTTACCCATTAAAAATAGTGATTTTCCATAGCTATGTTAGTTTACCGGAGGGTATACGTGGATAAACGACAATATAGTCAAATATCATTCTCGAATAAGAGTGGCATTTCCGTTTTGATGGGAATTATGTTGGATCATGACAAATACAATGGGGACTGTGGTATAAACCATCCCCAAAAAAGATGGAAAAAATGTGATTTATTTACAGCATTTCGTGGCTTAACAATTGTATTATAGTATTAATGGATATGGATATTAATAATATCAACTATCCGTATCCATTCCAAAACAATAAACGGATTAGGATAATGCCAATTGGATAGTTCCAAATCAATATACGTTCATGCCAATGAGGTAAACCCAATAACAATATATAAACCTGGTTGGTGGTTTGGAACATGAATTTTATTTTTCCATATATTGGGAATGATAATCCCAACTGACGAACTCTATCATTTTTATTCATTTTTCAGAGGGATAGGTCAACCACCAACCAGAAACCATTCCAAATTGGGGGTCTATGATTGGCTAATTGGATAAACCGGCGACAGCTTGTTGATAATGACTGAAGGGGTGTTGAACCATGTTGAACCTGGGAATCAGTCCTGTAGATGTATTTTGTTTGCTGCTTAGATCCCTACCAGCTACAATTGGATAATTGGGGTCTTGTTATAAGTCTTATAAGTTACAAGTTATAGATAGTGTTCACTAGACTGTGCATCTTTATTTGCTGTCAGCTACAAATCTACAATGTGAGGCCCCCGTTCGATAGCTAAGTTGGTTTATAACTCCAATTTCACTATGGTTTATGATACTTATAACGAACTAGTTCCTGGGGCTTAGAAACCAACAAACATCACTTGGGGGGCCTCACATTGTAGTCATGTTATGAACCACTGCTTCCCCTAGGCTCTATGGGTTGGTATTGGATCCAATCCCAATGGTTGATGGTAAATTCCATCCGTTGATGGTTGAATTCCATGACTGGTTGATGGTTTGGAACATGAATTTATGACTTTATTGAAATATATGGTTTTTATATGGTTTTTATATGGTTTATAATGGTTTATAATGGTTTATAATATGGATTATATGGAATATCTTGGGATGTCATGATCCCAACTGACGAGTCGTCATCATTTTTCAGAGGGGTTGGGTAGGTCAACCACCAACCAGCCATAGTTTGAAGATTTAAACGATCAGATTATGTGTGGGGGTTGCGGCTTCGGCCAGGCATGAGCAGGCAGAACGAGGTGCGGGTGAGGGTGCGAGCTGGGAAAAATGGGTGTAAGCATAGTGAAATAGTCCCCATTAATGTGGTTGAAACGATGCCATAAACCATCCATTTGGGAATGGTAACATACCACCTATCAAAATGGTGAAATTGGGGATGGTTCATTATTGTTTTACCTACATTAGTTGGGATATAACCACCAAAAAAAACAAAGGTTACATAAGAATCCACTTATAACAAGAAACTGCGCTTCCAAGTAGGGGACTGAGAATATATTGGGATATCCAAGACGTATATGGGGGGTTCAAGGTTCATCGGCAATTGAGGCTTGAATCGGCTCGGAGATGTTCGATAGCAACCCCATTGGCATCACATCAGGAACTTCCAAGGGAACAGATACCAATTGCAATTGAAATCCCAGATCCATGTGACGACGGTCCCTCAAACCTCAAAAATTGATATAGAATCACCAGGGTTTTGGAGCACTTGACCCGGAAAATACCACCAGAATTTCCTCATCTCCAAGTCGCAGCAAGCATCTTAAACATTACCCTCTGGTAAACATAGAAAAAACTATGGAAAATCACTTTATTTTTAATGGGAAAATCAACGAACTAAATGGCCATTTTCAATGTCGCAAACTGTAACATATTACCAGAGGGCATAAGATGTCTTAAAAACCCAGCAAGTTCACCATGTTTTTTTTCAATTTTCCTCATCCAGCAAGGTAGAAGTCTTGCGAAGATCTCTGGAGCTTTGGTTGGCTCATCCTCCTCCTGACCCTGGGGTTGCGGTGGACTTCTTCGCCCGGAAACCTAGAAAAAAAACCATGTGGATCCGAATTTTCTCCATATGTTTTCCGACTTTGAAGTGGTTTGGAGGGGTTTATATGTCAGGAAATGATTCCCAGTTATATAGTAGCAATTTAGTACCATGAGTAATGAAAGATCTATAAATATCTTCGAAAAGAATGTGAATGCAGCCATGCCATGAGCGTATCCACCAGTCTGGGGAAAAATGGTCCAGTTGGAACACCAAGACCTATGATACACCCTCTGGTAAAGTAACATAACTATGGAAAATCACCATGTTTAATTGGTAAATCCTCTATAAATGGTCATGTTCAATAGTTATGTTAGTTTATACTTGGAACATCAATAACTGGCTTTTGTTTAAGGTGATTTCTTACTTTCCCAATAGGAAATCCACCATTTGGGGAATCTATAGTGAATATTTGTTATTTTTTGGAAACTCCTTAAGCAAATCCAAGATAAATCACAAAGATTTATCGATGCATGGCCCAGTAACCCTGATTTCTGGCCTTTTGACATGTTCAGTGGCCAGGGTTAGACACATATGTCATCACACTTGCTTTAGGACGTGCTTCTTGGGGAATGTGCGCAGATTGGAACATGGAACCCAAAAAAGTTGCCATTTCCAGCAGGAAAGCAATTGTTCGCTGTTTTAGTGGTGAAGTTTCATATAAGTTTGAGAGGGCTCACGGGCCAGAACCCCCCAGAATTTGGCACAAAAGATGAGCATG